ATTTTTCCCCCATTGACCCCCTCCTCCCCACGCCCGCCCCCCTCCCGCCTTTTCCCACACTATTGTCTGTGTCCATTGGTTATGCTTATAAGTTCTTTGGTTTATTTCTTCCCACTCCACCCAACCCCTTTCCCTTTGAGGTTTGTCAGTCTAGCAATGAATTTGTACTTCTTAATCCCTTCACCTTTTTCACCCATTCTCCCATCCCCCTCCCATCTGGCAACCAACAAAATGTTCTCTGTATCTATGAGAATGTTTCTGATCTACCTGTTCACTTTGTTTGTAGATTCCATTGTTGATAGATATGTATTCATTGTCATTTTGTTTGTTCATATATTTTATCTTTTTCTTCAAAAAGACCCTTCATTTCATATAATAACGGTTTGGTAGTGATGAACTCCTTTAACTTTTTCTTGTCTGGGAAACTTTATATGGCCATCGATTCTAAATGACACCTTTGCAGGATAGAGTAATCTTGGTTGTAGGTTCTTGCTTTTCATCACTCTAAATGTTTCTTGCCACTCCCTTCTGGCCTGCAAAGTTTCTTTTGAGAAGTCAGCTGGCAGCCTAATGGGAACTCCCTTGTAGGTAACTAGCTGCCTTTCTCTTGCTGCTTTTAAGATTCTCTCTTTGTCTTGAACCTTTTGCATTTTGATGATGATGCGTCTTGGAGTGGGCCTCTTGGTGTTCATCTTGTTTGGGACTCTCTGTGCTTCCTGGACTTGTATGTCTGTTTCCTTCACCAAGTTAGAAAAGTTTTCTGCCATTATTGTTTCAAACAGGTTTTCGATTTCTTGTTCTCTCTCTTCTCCTTCTGGTACCCCCAAGATGCAAATGTTGGCACGCTTGAAGTTGTCCCAGAGGCTCCTTACACTATCCTCATTTTTTTGGATTCTTTTTTCTTTTTGCTGTTCTGATTGGGCGTTTTTTGCTTCCTTATATTCCAAATCGATGGTTTGCTTCTTGGATTTACGTACTCTAGTATTGAAGCTGTGTAAATTATTCTTTATTTCAGTTAATGCCTCCTTCAATTCTGACTGGTCCTTTTTTATGCTCTTGAGGCCCTCACTAAGTTCACTGAGGTTCTCACTGAGTTCATTGAGTATCCTTATAAGCAGTATTTTGAACTCAGCATCTGTTAGGTTGCTTATCTCCATTTCGCTTAGTTCTTTTCTTGGGGTTTTGTTCTGTTCTTTCATTTGGGACCTGTTTCTTTGTCTCCTCATTTTGGCTGCCTCCCTGTGTTTGTTTCAGTGTATTACTTAACGAGTGGTATGGGGCTAGCTGAGACCAGATGCTGCTCATTTGAAAGAATTTAGGAAAACCTGAAGCAGGATCCAAGACAGGCCAATCCTATGGTTAAGCAACTGGCAACAGCTTGGGTGGGCCTGAAAGTTGGGTGGGCCTGAAAGTTGGGTGGGGCGGGGCGGGGCCTCAGGGAGTCAGCAGGGCGGGGCTACCAGTGTGAGCCAGGTTGCTGGAGTCCCAGGTATGGGGACTGTCTGCCGCCCCCGGGAAGGGCTCACCAAAGGAACAAAGGCCTCTGACAGCACGTTTGTCCCGGAGAAAGCCCCCTCTCCAGCCCTTGCTCCAGTGCCAAACAGCTCAGTTCTTCCCTGTGTGTCTCTGGCGCCCCTCGAGCTGCCTCCCCTCCGAGCTTAGAGGGAGAGAGTCCGATAAGTGCGTGCGCGGGCCCTTTAAGGAGCTGCCTGGGGCTCCAGCCGCTTCAGCTTCCCTGAGCCTCAGTTCCCGCTGGTTTTCCAGCCAGAAGTTATGGGGATTCTCTTCCTGGCACTGGAACCCTGAGCGGGGCACCTGGTGTGGGACGGGGACCCCTCAGTCCTCAGGAAGGACCTTCCCAGCCGAGGTGTCCTCCTGATTTTTATCCGCCACACGTGGGTGTGGGACCAGCCCGTCCCCTCCGCCCCTCCTACCAGTCTGGATGTAGCTGCTTTTTTAAATTCCGTAGTTGTAGGTCTTCCATTCAGCTTGATGTCAGGAGGTTTTTGAATGATGGTTGTTCTGTAGTTTAGTTGTAACTTTGATGTGGTTGTGGGAGGACACGATACCGCGTTTACCTACGCCGCCATCTTGACCGGAAGTCCGATAATTTTCCCTGAGAATTTTAAAGTCCTGCTCCAATATCTTCTAGCATCAATATTATTAATGGAAAGTGTAGTGACAATCTTATGCTTTTTTGTTTTTTTGTTTCTTGTTTTCTGCAGGTATCCTGTTCATTCTCTCTACAAGCTTTACACTAGGAATTTTTTCATGTTAATGAACTAGTCCTTGGCACATGGTCAATATTTTCCATCTGAAAATCTTTTTTTTTTTCAGTTCATAAAAATTATCTTTTCTTATTTATTTGATTATTGATCCTTGTTCTATTAGCTACACATTAATAACTTTCTAGATCTATCCTCCATCTCAGCTTCCTCCTTACAGTTTTCCTTTCTGTCATCCTCTATGTTCTGAGTTATTTTCTCAACTTTATCTGCTATATTGCTAATGCAGTTTTCAGCCATATCAATGATTCAAGTCTATTGATTTTAAAAATGTATTCGGGGAACCATGTTCAATATTTCAAGGGCTCTTCCACATCCCTTCCTGTTCCCTTTCATACCAGCCTGTTCTTCGTACGGACGCTGTCCGGTCTCTGGGGAGCACTTCCGTGTTGAGTGCCGGCCTTCTTCCTTCCTTCTGCTTCTCCCACCTTAGCTGCTCTTTCACACATTTCTGTATTTCTCTTTTACCAAATATTTGATGATCCTTGATGGGCCACTCATTTTTTAACAAAATAAAACACATTATATAAGTATTTCCTACTTATGCAATAGTATAGTCAACACCCAAATGCCCGTCATCTAGCTTAGAAACAAGACTTTACAAATATAACTGAAGCTCTTGTGACCATCCCCCCTGATAGTCTCCATTTCAGTTCTGGGCACAGCATGGCAGGGGCCCCGCGGCCCCGCAGCTGCGGAAGGTCTGCTCCAAAGGGACTCTGTCCTGGGGCAGGCACAGATCCTACGATGGCACCTTCAGCTGAGGTGGGGCTTGAGACAGCAGGGGATGGCCTGGGACAAGCAAGGTCTTCGAAGCATACTCACCCACTTGGATGGGCTAGAAAGGAGGAGGAGAGACCCAACTGGGTGCTCAGATGTAACAGCACTGGTTTTAATGGCTGAGAACTGGGATTGTGTTGGCATGAGGAGAACAGCATTTGGTCAAACACGCGTTGGTCGGACTGCCTAGTGAGCCCAGGGGGAGCTTCTGGGGACAAGGAGACACAGAAGCAAGAATGGCATGTAGAACATCCGCCAGCGGGAACCAGCCCTTCACAGTGTAGGATCCAGAGAAGTAAGAGCTGGGCTGGCTCCAAGTCCTCGACAGAAAGTGTCTGGGCAGGAAACAAGTGTGGTGGGAGAGGGGCACCCAGGCACAGGGAGCAAAGAGGTTCCCGTTGCCAGAATGTGGAATCGAGATGTGGTTTAGGTCTGAGAAGTAAGGCTGAGCTTGGCCGGACCAATCACAAGGATGAGGATGAAGATTCTGAGACTGGAGCTGCTGAAACGCCTCCTGCTCATACTCAGAATTGGTCTTGGACTTAATTACTGAAGGTCAAGAGGTCTCCACTGGGGAAGAGAGGAGGTGAGGGAAGGAGAGGGAAAGGAAGGCAGAAGCTAGGAACCAAGGGTGATCCGACACCGTCACTGGACTTCATGGAGGCTTCTATTTTTCAGCATTTGTGGGGTAACCAACATATCCAAAACCTTAAGCAAAATTATAAAGATGAATCTGTCCTCCCTACCCAGGTGCCCTATATACCATGCAACAAATACCCAGAGCTTTGGGAAGACACAGCTCCATTCCTGAAACTCCTTTTGAGCTCCTTCTACATGCCAGGCTCTGTGCTGTGAAATGAGACTTCAGAAGGGATGAACGCCTGCTTGGCCATCGGTGACTCCTGTCCTGTCAGGGAGTCAGACAGGCAAACAGACCGTTTGAGACAGTGTGGACAGGGCTGTGCTGGAGGCGGCCCTGGGTAGCTTGGCTGAGTGGAGTGGAGCAGGAGGGACGAGGAAGGGCGAAGCAGGAGGAGACACTCAACGCGATGTGTCCATGAACATAGTACTTGGCTGCTTCTGGAGCACAATTCAAGGCAAGTGTGAAGTGGTCAGAGGGCATGGCTCTGGAGTCAGAGCCTTGGGTCCAGACCTCCCGCTGCCCCACACCTTTTGTGTGATCTTGAACACACGATTTAATCTCTATAAACCTCAGTTTCTCCTCTGATCACCAGGGGGTCAGAAAAAAAAGCACTTGAAATACCTTTGTTACTTAATATAAGTCCTTACTCCTGAGAGGATGGGAATAAGGAGGAATAAAGGACAATTCAAAATGAAGACACATGCCATACTGATTACTAAAATTGCTTAACATTTATTGCTTCCTTTAGGATTAGTAAATTGTAAGTCTCATTAGATATACCAGTTCTTATAAACACTAAGAACTGGAATTAATTATACTCCAGAGTAGGAACGAATCAAATTCTGCTGGTTCTAAGTTTCCTCTAAAAGTAATAGTTCGTGTTATTTTTCTTTGTGTTTATACAGGTATAGTGCAGATATGTCTAGTGAGAGCTACCATATATTCCTTCTCTGACAAATTGCATGTTGTGTTTATCATTGACATTCACGGTCCCTGTGCATAATGAAGTACAATCAATTAACAATTAGCCATGCTGTTAGCTGATGGGCAGGGAGACCATCTTGACAATATCCCCAAAGGTAAGAGAAGTCATGGTGATTTGTTACTCTTTGGCTTTGTAGATTTTTTTTTTAACTATTCACTTGCAAATAAAAAATATCTGATTATCTGTGAATTTCCAAGAATCCGATCAAATGGTTCTTAAAAATCCTATGAAAACACAACACAGGAGGAGTCTGACAATTGTGCCTTTTTGTGTCTGCCTATTCAGAAGCATTCTCTCCCTGGCTTTCAATAGATAGCATCTCTTCACCAAGCGGGTACAAATATTAACTACCGAGGATAAGCTAGCAATAACCTGCCGAGTCAAGACCTGGATGGAATTTTCATTCATCACATTGGACCACTGATTGTCGGTAGCCAGGCATTGACCATAACAGTTTCTCCACTGTCCACGGTCAGTGCTTAATGGTGATGGTTTTGATTTCAGTGAAGAATTCGTAAGAGTCTTTGGCTCCTTCTCTACCTATTCCAGAACTCTTCATCCCCCCGAAGGGAAGGTTCAGCTCCCTGATGAGCCAGCAGTTGGTCCAGACCAAGCCTGACTGCAACTTCTTAGCCACCCGGTGGACACGCCCCACATTGCTTGACCACACGGTCGCTGCCAGCCCATATTTAACACTGTTGGCTCTTTTAATCACTTCCTCTTCGCTATCAAAGGGGACAACACACGTCACCGGACCAAATATCTCTTCCTTCATGCAGCAGGATTCGTCCTTAATGTCTGTTATCACGGTGGGAGGCATAAAATAGCCTCCCTGATTCCTGGAGGGAAGACTCAACTTATCCACACCCTCACCGCACAGAATTTGGGCCCCTTCAGCACGAGCTTTCTTGATGTAACTTCTGACCTGGGTGGGTAAAAACCATAATTAGCAACATCTTACTATTTGTCTTCACACAAAGCAACAACAAACCCAATATTTTGAAATCATCTAGGAAAGAGGTATGAGGTCATTGCCGAGAAATCGAAGGTTAATTATCTTATCACTCAGCTGCTAAGCCAGAGAGGCAAGTGCTCATCACTTGGATATGCAGCCCTCAGTATGGAAGAGGAACAAGTAATTTACTTAATGTCTAAGTGCCAGTCACTCAGATAAGTGTTTTTCATATATTCTTACCATATTTTCTCAAAAGTCTCTTAGCTATGTATTATTATCCCCTACTTGCTGATGATATAATTGAGCCTCAGAAAGGGTAAGCATTTCATAAAACTAATAAACAGGAAAACTAGAATTCACACTCAAGCATATTCAGTCATTAAATACACAAAAGAATATTTTCTCACTCTTGGAGAGGTGATGCCCACTGCAGAAAGTGTGAGGTTGAATGGTGACAAGATGTAATTAAAGGCCAGGGTGCCCTTCAAATATCTGAGCTTCCGGAACAAATAATTTCTCATTTCTGGTCTCATTACTGATTATATTCAGAAATATATCTAGGTAATATAGTATAGCTAACTATAATGGGAAATAAATTATGTAATAAGCTCACCCAGTGACTCTGAGATAATGGCAGGTATTTATTAATAATGGTTGTAGAAATGACTCATTATAATAATGACATATACATTTATATACGGAAATGTTGTTTAAGTCACAATGCTACATGAATCTACCTCTAAGGGGTGTTATAAGCATAGAAGAAATAAAAAAATAATCCCCAAAACTAACAGTATAGAACGAGAGTCAAGTAGTGCACCAAAGCAGGGTCAATTTGGAAGTGCCTTTGGATTCCTACTTATCATTTATCATCTGAGGATTGTGCCCCAGTATTAAATTAGTACTCCACTGTAGAACTATATTCAATATAGAGATATATATTTGCCATGTAAAACTAAAAAAGGTAATGTTATTTTATTATTTTTGGCTTCAATTCGTAAAACACTTAATAAGCCATGAAGTCAAAGCCTTTTTCAAAGCAGACATCTGGTCCAGCTCTACACCCCCTCTGCTGCAGCTCTTCCCCCACAGGCACGACGATCTCCAAGGTTTCCCAGAAAGCCCTGGGGCCCGTTGGGGGGTAGAGACTCAGATAGGTTTGGACTTCTCTTCCCCTACGCGCTCACTCCTCCTGAAACAACCCACCCACATTAATTCAGAGACGCCAAAGGTGGCCTCCAGGGTGAACAGAGGAAGCCCAGGCAAGGGCCCAGAGACCCCTGGGCGGTGCCGGGACGGCATCACGTCCCAGCCGTGCAGGAGCGCTCCGGCTTCCTGTTATGGTGTCTAAGGGGAATTACATGACTGTCTCTTAGACACTCTCCAGATCATCAAATACAAAGAGAAGTGTCAGTTTCAAATTGTGAATTTAACAAAATATTTAATGCATAAGGTGACTGACTCACACTAAACTGAATTTATTTTCTAAAGTATCACTGGATGATAGAATGATATCTACACTAGCAGTTCAGGAACTAAGATTTTCAGTAAAATCTGAAAAGAAAAAAAAAAAAACCTTGTGACCAGTAATATGCTATAAAATGCAGTGAACTATTATTATAAAACTTATTTGGAGCAGACAATAGTGTTAAGTTGCTTTGCATATAAGATCAGAGCACAGAGAAGCATGGGTTTCGGATCCCAACCGTGTTCAAATTACTCCCTAGTTAAGAGATTTTAAATGCTCTGTGCCTCAGTTTCATCATCTGAAAAATAAGATGAACACTGCCACCTATTCATAGGATTAAATAAAATAAGATACGTGAAATATTCAGCACAATGCCTGAGACATGACAAGTCTTTTGAACACCAGTGGCTGTCGCTGCTGTTGATGAAGGTGATCTGACCCTTACCAGCTGAGAGACTCCGGAGGTCCCCCACTCTGGGTGTCAATTTGCGTAGCTGACAAAGGAGAGAGGACACTGGAGGGTGGATCTGATTGTCTGGTCCTGCGGGGGATGCACTGTGAACCTGTGGGCTTCCTCCAGCCTCCTTGTCAACACTCAACAAGTCCACCTCACCCCTTACATGTGTCTATGGGGAGGCCGGCATGGAGCCAGATTTCCCAGGCAGCCAAGTGGGGAAGGATACAGGAGGGTAAAAAGAAAAACAATAAGCAACTCCCTGAAATAGGCAAGGGAGACTTTCATCCTGAGGACAGAATCACCTGCCATTCACCCTGCAGCCCCTGCAGTCACTAGGAACCTGGGAGGTGACGTGTCCACTTTGGAGTGTGCTGCATCTCTGTGAGTTTCTGGGCCTTTGCGATTACAAACCAAGTTCACGCATTCCACTTGGATTCTTCTGTCCCCGCATCACCATCCACTGTGCCAATCACGCAGAAGCGGGGTGGACACAAAGACCCGGACTCTGAAGAGCTACTTTGACTTGGAGAAGACAGACATGCTGCAGAAGAGGAGAAGGACGCAAAGACGGCTGACAGAGCATCCGTGACACACAGCCCCCAAGCTGTCTGGGACAGGCAGGGAGAGACATCCACTGCCTCCTTGACCCCAGATGGTTTGGCAACTGAACTGAAGAGTCCCAATCTGAAAGGCCAAGAGGAGGGGATGGGGGGACACCGGGCTCTCCCTACATGTCTTAGCCTGGACTCCGACGAGAACCAGCTCACTTGGTGAAAATGGGGAGGGCCTGAGGCAGAAGGTGAGGGGCCTTGGGTGGGCTACCCGGAACCTTCAGGTGGCACACGCCTCTGTCTGTGCACAGGTGCTAAGGGGACACACACCCCACAGGAGGCCTCAGCTCCCACCTGCCCTTGCTACATTCTCAGTCTGCAGCAGGCAAGGTCTCAGGACCCACCGGGACACCCCACGCATGCCTGGGACCAATGTCATTGGACCCCAACCGCCAGCCTAATGAAAGAAGGCAATTTGGATCTTCTCTGTGGAGTCACTCAAAGACATAAAGTTTAAGGTATGTATTTTACTCTAGTAAAATTTTTGGAAATTTTATACTAAAATATTTTGATAGAGCAGCTTGCTAAATCTCTGTGTTTATTTTAGGGGTGATCAAAACTACTGGAAATCACCAAAAACAGAATGAAACAAAAGTTTGATCATTGGGAGGAATATGTTTTTTTCAACTAAAATGTGTTATAATTGAAATTTTTTGGTACCTTTTTTATAAGTTGGTTCCTGAGAAAGAAGAACAGTGTGGGGGAGGGAGTAAGCGGACTGACGGAAAATGTTTCACTTGCCTATTTGAGTAATGCTGTAAAAATCTCTAATGAATTTAGCAAATAAGCTGATCATATTTTTTGAAGTTCTTAGTTGACATTTAAAAAGTTGGATTTGTGTAATATTGATGTGTTGAACACCAATATTTATCCAAAGATTTTTAAGAAACTAGGACTCAGTTGTAAAGCTGCCTGTGACAAAGACTGAAATAACCATTGAAAGGATGCAGAGCTAACGCAGCGTCGCAAGCAAACCTCAAAGGCCTGTACGTATCTTTGTGGACTTTCTATTGATTTAATGATCAGTGATACCAGATGCCTGTGTTGAAGAGTTCAGGGACAGTGGAACCCTCAAGTTTGGGGGTTGTCCTGTAACTAGAACACAGGAAGTAGTATTACCTCAGTCATTTGTCCAACAAATACTATGTGCCTATTATGTTCCAGACACATTTTGGGGGATCTAAGGATCAAGCAGTAAATAAAACTGACCATGGAGCTCGTATTCCAGTCAAAGCAAGATAGTCAGGAAAGGAATAAAGAACATATTGCATGTCAGGTGTAGCAGAGGCAGGAGAACCTACAGCAGTGAAGAGGAGGCGATTCCTGGGGGAGGGACTTCACAGAGGGAGAGCGGGCAGGCGCTCCTTCAGGCGTGGCATTGGATCGAAGGAGAGAGCCAAGCAAATCTGTGAAGAAAGAACATTCCAGGGGGTGTGGGCAGCAAGAGCAAAGGGCAAGACGAAGGAGTGGCCCGATGTGTTCGAGGAAGAACAGAAAGGCCAGTGTGCAGCGGCGGAACGGAGGAGGGGAAGGGTGACAGGTGTCGGGAGACAGTCTCCTGGGTTGTGCTGAAGACGCAGGCTCGACTGTGAGCAAGACGAGGTATGACCATACACAACGTGACTCATCACAGCCGATGCATCAAATAACTGGGACACCAAAGCAAGGTTTAAAAAGGAACTGGGCTCATCTGGAAATATCAGTATGGACCCAGGATCCTCTTAGAAGGACAGCGTGTGAGCTCAGCACAACCAGGTTTTAAGGTGCCTCCTCTTTTTTTCTTTTATTGTAGAAAGTATTACAGATGTCTCCCTCTCTTTTTCCCATTGACACCCTCCTTCCTGCTCCCAAACCCGCCTGCCTTCCCAGCCTAGTGTCCATGTCGATTGGTTGTGTCTATGTTGCATATATGTTCTTTGGTTTATCTTAAGGTGCCTCCTCTTTAATGTCATCGTCATCCTGGGCCATCTGATGGGCACCCACAGGGTCAGATGCTGGCCTTGGTTACTCTTCTCCACTGAAAGGAGCCAGGGCTCAGTAGAAAGAGGTCCTGTGGCCCATGTGGAGAAGAGCAACTCAGGTGGCCAAGGCCACTTGTCAGAGAGCAGAGATGCCCGCACGGGGCCTCGGCGGAGCACAGAAGGGCCGCAGGGCCACTGTGGGCAAGTAGGTCATGCTGAGCAGCAAAAATATCCCGTTAAAGCACACAGAAAAACCAAATGCTTTCATTTGCTTCACTGACATATCTCCCTTCATTGGGCAAATTATGGCCTGCGATAGAAAAACATAGTTTCTCTGCTGACTGGTGGAGAACTCTGGACCTCAGGGGAGTGGGGAATGGCCAAGGGGACTTCAGACTGCACCATACCCCTGAGCCCACCGCCAGGGGCTCTGTGGGTTAAGGTTTGCTCCACAGGAGGCCTTCAGAACATGCTAACGTTGTCTCCACCGGTTCTGCGCGGTGTGGGTGGGCAGGCACGGAGGCCTGGTGTCCAGGACAGCCAGACAAGAGACGACAAAGATGCCTCTTGCCCCTGGTGATTGCTCCTTCCCCCAGGATTCCTCCTTCGTCCACAAGTCTAGGTCCCTCGGGCACTCTGGAGACTGCGCCTGGGCACCTGCAATCGTGCAGGCGAATTCGCCTGGAGGGAACACAGCCACGCTGGCTGGCCTCCCTGTGAGCAAGTGACCAGAGCTTCAGTGAGCCCTTGGAGCTGCCTTAACAGTCATTTCAAAGTCCACTCTCTCTCCTGAACTCCTGCAAGACTACTTCACACCTTGCTCCTCCTCACCTGCACCCTATTCACTGAGAAAACAGACACAATAAGAAGAGACCATCAGCTGCATGGCCTTCCCTCCTATGAGCGCCTGGGCTTCACGACATTGTGAAGGTCAAAGTTAAAATGTGGTGAGTCTGCCAGCCCCAGGCAGTGCCCGCGAGGCCTGCAAACGTGCGCGAAGGCTCTGCCCCCTGGTGCCTGGCCGAGGGAGGCGCATTTCCCTTGGTGGCTCTCAGTGACTGCAGCTGAACACGAGCTCCTTCCAGTACCAAAATCTATGACCTATTGTAAGAGGAGTCACTTCGGATAATAAATTAAAATGAACTTAGAGATCTAAATTCCGTAAGCCACCCAGAGGCCATCAGTGGCTTCTCCCACGTAGGCCACCACTCGTCACTCCACGAAGCAAAGGCCACATGCTCTGGGCGGCGTGTCCCGCACTTAGAGAAGCCATCGGCTGAGAGCCAGGGGCCGCACCCTTTCCCGGGAACAGTGCCTCAGGGGGATTCTTGCCAGCCTCACCCACATCATTTGGCCCTTGTGCTTTGAAAACCGCCTTCCTCCCTCTCCCAGCAGCATCTCCACGCTGACTTCTCAAATGCATCCGTCTCACACAGACGCTGTTTTAAATCGGGACTACATGTGTTTGCTCCTGTCCAACATTTTCAGACTCTGTATACAGAGACGATTTCCCACAGGTTATAACTGTTCAACAATGAGGTCGTGTTGAGCAAGATTTCGGGCGTGGGTGAGAGCCATGCTTTGCACTGAGCTTCTCTCCAACGAGAACGCGTCCCGTGGCCCACTGGCAGAGGCTACTCACTTTCTCCAGATGAGCTTTGCTTATCAGAGCTCCCATGCTGGCCGACGGGTCGGAGGGAAGGCCCACTTTCCACAGCCTGGCAGCTTCTACAAACCTCTTTAGAAATTCACTGTAGATGCTCTTCTGGACGAAGATCCTGCTGGTACAGAGGCAGATTTCCCCCTGCCAGGAATGACACACGGGGAAAGTGACAAGGCTGGAGGACACGCGCCGTCGCGGATAGGTCACGCCGCACTCTGAGCACCTGCACATGTATTTCTGAGCCTCTCTCCAGGAATTTCTCTGAGAGCCTAATTACAATTATAATGATCATGAAAACAATTATTGTAAAGAATGTTTTTCACTCTACTCTCACAAAAACCCTATTGGAAGGCATAATTACTGTCATTTCCATAATTTACTGGTAAAGAAATAAAAGGTTCACAAGATTATGCAAATTACTCAAGTTAGGTTAAATAAAGATACATCTGATTCCACTCATCTTTCCTTCTATGGTAATTCTAGCCCTTTGGCTTAAGTTTTTGTTTTCTGCTAAGTTTTTGTTTGTTTGTTTTAGAGGGAGAGGAAGGGAGAGAGAGAAAGAGAAATATCGATGTGAGAGAGAAGCATCGCTCAGCTGGGTCCTGCTGCCCCCACTGGGGATCGAGCCCATAACCTGGGCGTGTGCCCTGACCAGAATCAAACGGGGACCTGTCAGTCCATGGGACAGTATTCAATCCACTGAGCCACACCAGCCTGGCTGATACAGTTTTTTAAGTACACCCTTTGGAGAAAATCATTCAGCATTTATGCATACCTGCTCCACCCCAGGCACTGTCCTGGGCGCTGAAGCTAATACGCTTCGGGAAGCAGGCTCAGTCGCCCTCTCCGTGTAGCCTGCAGTCTAGGATCTCTGATCCCGTGTTCTCCACCCTTTGGGGTGCTACGGCCTTAAAGACTCTGATGAGAACTATGGACCTCAGGAAAACATCTGTCGCACCGTTTCAGGAGGTGCAAAGTTGCCCTGACGCTCACCAGGACTCTAAGCAAGAAAGCAGCTCTGGACTGGTTCCAGTATTTATCTCTAAGTGTGAGGATGCATTTGGGGTGCTCTGGGGAGCAGAATAAGGTTTACTGGAGGCAGGACATCTAGGCAGCAAGAAGAGCCTGGGGCCAACGCTGTGAAAACGAGATGGAGAAGCTCAGAGTAGCAAAAACCCATCATTTCACCCACGGCTGCCCCCTGACAAAAGCTGTGGCATTCAAGAAAAGGAGCTTGCTGAACAGAAGCTGCGACTCCTCAAGGCCACGAATCAATGTTGGGATTGAACAGATGGTCAATGGAATGACACAAAGGAACGATTCTCCTTTCACTGAACTAGCCCTGGATCGACCTGCTCACTCCTGGCTCTGCACTGAAAAGAAACAGATTCTGCTTGATGGGCCAAAAGAGTTCAAACCAACAAACATGTAAACCAAAAACCCAGGGGACTTACCTGGTTGGCAAAACTAGACCTGACGGTGGTTGGAATACACTCCTCCAGGTTGGCATCCTCAAAGACGATGGCAGGATTCTTGCCCCCCAGCTCCAGGGAGAGCTTCTTGCAGTGGGGAGCACTCAACTGCGTGATCCGCTCGGCTGTGGGCTGGCTCCCAGTGAAGGAGATGACCGGCACCTCCGGGTGGGACACCAGGGCCTCACCTACCCTGGGCCCTGTTCCGAACACAATATTTACCACCCCTGGTGGGACTCCTGGATGGGAAACAGTATCAGTTGCAGTAATTCTTCTCCGTAGGTTGAGGATTTAGGTTGCACAGAGATTCTCCTTGAAAGTCCAGTAGGTGGGAGTGAACTCGCATGGCTATCTCCAGTTTAATAGCACAGCAAAAAGCACACATCACCTCTGCCTAGCATACGCCCTAGGTGGAATTTCATGGGGTGCTTTGCCCCAGAAAACGCAACACTCTACATAATTCATTCCACGACCTGACTAGGCCCGGGGGCTGGGGATGCAGGGATGCTCAGGCAGGTCAAGCCCTGTGCGGGAGGAGAGCCTGCTTCCAGCTGCCACCCCGGAGTCACCATTCAGTGGGAAATGTCAAGTGGAGGAAGCCTGTGGGCATGGACGAAGGGGAGTTCTCGGAAAAGAAACAAGGAAACTAAAACCAAAAATGTCAGTGGAATCTGTTTTGCCACCGAGTAGAGTTCTACCCAAAATAACTTCTCAGATGTCAGTGACCCTAGCAGGGCTGAAGCCTACAAAACATGCAGCCCCAACGCCAATCCTCCCTCAAACCCTAACACCTGGTCACCTGCTTTGTCCAGGAGTTTGCACATCATCCAGGCGGTCACTGAAGTCAGCTCGCTGGGCTTGGCTATCACAGTGTTGCCAGCGGCGATGGCCGGGGCGATCTTCCAGGTCAGCAGGTAGAGCGGCAAGTTCCAGGGACTGATCAGACCAGCTGACAGAGACAGAAGCATCGGGGACAATGGCAGGCCCCTCAGGCAGACCGGCCGCGGGGTTTACTCCACCGAACTCCTTCCTGCTGCATGAGACCTAAGCTCCTTACATTCTAAGCTTTGCTTATTAGCAGCCAACTTCAGGGAGATCATTCTAAAATGTATTACAAACAACTGTATCTTCTAAAACTATAAATCGATACAGTTCACTCTTTTCTTGATGACTTAATAAGTATATTTATGAACAGCAATAGTATAAGTTATGGGGCTAAACTGTTCCATAATGTGATAAGTTTTGAGATTTATGGACTGATGTTTACACGTGTCTAAACCTCTCCCTCTTCATCATTAAACTGTCTAGCTACTTTTTTTTAAAGTTTCTTGGACTGAGGCATAAAATCTCAAGCTTTTTAGAATTATTAATAAAATAAGAGCAAATCGTTTCTGAGACTGCGAAATCCATTTTAGCTCACCAGAAGATTTTTGCATAAAAAATTTTCTCTAGGTTCTCACCTGTATCCTAACCAGATTGGTTTTCTGTATGAGTAACAGAACCAATAACTAGAACGTGTCTCCATGTAATAGTAAAAACTGCCCAGCCTCCCAACCATGAATCACATAAAAATAAAATCTACCTTATAAACAAGTAAATAGAGTCACCTTATTTATAATCTTCCTTTAAGTCTGTGCAATAAAAGAATATGGATATAGTTTATATTACTACATTTCCCATTGAAAAATCTTTTCTTTAGGGGATAACAATATTTTTGCAGCATAATATATCAGCATACTTTGGAGGATGTTTGAATTTTTCATAATGCTTTAAACATACCATTTACGAAGGGCTCAAATAATCGAAGTGGTAAAATGTTCCATTTTCTTCCCCTTTAACTTACATTCTTTAATCCTGTCAAATATGTAACTACTAAAATATGAACAGTTGGGGTTTTTTGGAGAGGAAGCAGTGCCATCTAGTGGATACTATGAGTCATTGCAGATATTTATGAGTCCTTAAAAGGCAGAAAGCAAAGTGAATGTGGTAAGTAGTTCAGTCAAGGCTTATTTACCACACACCTGGCACTGTTCAAAATTTCTACACTTATCAATTTATTTTTCATATAAAATATACATACAAAATTAAACTATTCTCCCAGTTTTTCAGACAAGAATACTGCAGCACACAAAGTTTGTGTAACTTGCCCCACACACATCCAGAAGCCATGCTCTCAACTACACTTTCTGGAAATAGACTTTTTTTTATCACAGTGGGCTGGGGGAGATCCTGGTTTGTGAAATTTTACTCTCATCATCATTCTTTTCCCTGTGATTTCCCAAGGAATAAGTAGGACTTTCACACAAAGAAAATAAATCAGAAATCAACATTTAAGGCCAATTGTATTTCGATCAAAGTAGAAGAAATCAGCTCTTTCCTTTGCCTTAGTCTATGCCTTTAGATCAATTCTGCAGAACTGACTGAGCTTCTCTCTGCAGTCATGGCCCAGGCTTTCACAGAACAGCACCTACCGATGCCCATGGGGGCCCGCACGGTGTAGTGCAGACAGCCCAGGTGGTCCATCTGGGTGCACTCTGACGTGTGGTGCAGGATGGAGGAGGCAAAGAAACGAAAGTTCTCTACAGACCGGGGGATGTCCAGGGTTCTTGCCAGTGTTATGGTTTTCCCTGTAGGAAGTCAACAACAGAAACACAGTCAGGATGTTTCACCACGGATAGTGGAGACAGCATCACACACATACCCCAACCCACACTGAAGTCGTCTCCATTCCTTCCAGCCTGGGATAGACAGTCACTGAATAGACAGTGTTGATGATAAAACCATGAAATAATCGGATAGGAGGTTATACGATGAGGTGGGGGAGTAAATTGAGTCAAATGATCTTTGCTTTGTGGACTGAACAATTCAGAGCTATCATCATGAATTTGCCAGATGCTACCACTTCACCCACACCAGCTCTTTCATTTCAAAATAGCAAGCTTTGTACATGCTATAAGGGGGGGGGGGGGCGCGTGGGTGTAAAGATAGCTGTATTTGCACATCACAAAAAACCACTTTGAGAAAGATGTGATACATACTAAATGCCTGCCCCCCCCCCCGCCACCCCAACACATAGTGGAGTCAGTGAGATGGACACGTGACAGAACAGTGGATGGAAACCTCTGGCTCAGCGTGTATCACGTGCCCTACATACATCCTGGCTCCTGTTGAACAAAAACAGAAACCTAAGCTTACCTAGATTGCTACTTAGTTACCTTTAGTGATGCAGAACACTGCAGTGCCAAGAGCTCCAATAGGAAACATTTTTTTTTTTTTTTGGAACATTTTTTTCTTAAGGGCTCGGAGTCAGGCTGCTTCCTACTCCAGACGGTTGACCGCACGCCTGTGACTTCAACAACCCTGGCTTTTCCTAACAGATACTATTGCAAGGATTTACAGACATTTACTCCATTGCCCTGGCTTCTGGGAAGGAGGTACAAAATGGGGAATTTGTGTCAGAAGTAGAATACTGATTATCTCAGATAGCTTTCTAAGTAACTTCGTTGTGCAACTGTTCTTCAAATTATATTTGCTTTGCAATTCTCCACTTCGAATTGGTGGGAGATCGAATGATTAACCCTAGTTCTTCCTCTCCCCAGTGCTACGCCCGCTGACATTCACATTTGCAGTTCCTTCCACAGAACAGAGTGTATTTATTCCCCTGCCCTTTGAACTTGGGTTCAGCGGTGACTCGCTTTGGCCATGAGAATAATGCAAGCCTCGGCCTTCGGAGGCCTTGGGGGGTTCTGTTCAGTGCCGTCCATTACAGCTAAGAGGCAAGTGATCATCTGACAAACTGGAAGGAGGGGATGAATGGCCTGCATCTGAGTAATGGATCGTCCTTTCCATGAAACATTTAGGAAGAGAGCTGCACTCCACCCCCGGCTCGGCCAGGGAGAGGGACAAGGCCTGGCAGAGACAGCTCTGCGGACGCCGGCTCTCACCTTGGTCCTTGGATTCGGCCTGAGCCAGCTCCTCCAGGGACTGTTCCAGCAAGTCCGCCAGCCGTCGCAGCACGAGCGAGCGTTCCTTTGGGCTGCGGGACGACCAGCCCGGGAAGGCGGCTCTGGCGGCCTCCACCGCAGCCTCGACCTTGGAGGAGCAGATGGGAGAGCGTGGCCGAAAGACTGTTATTGTCCCGAGGGGTTGCATGAATCCAGAATCCACACACACCAATTTTTTTTCTGCCTAATTTCAAACATCCAACACTTCCCAATGCTGACTTACCCACAACGTGGTGTTGCTGTGAGCAGCAAAGCAGGAGCACCACAAAAACAAAACAAAACAAAACAATAACAACAAAGAAAAACGCTCCATTTTGACCCATGTATCCAGAATGTGGCAACCGGATAATTAGAAAAAAGCTATTTGAATTTTAACAGATGGACATTTTCAATCGTTTCAAAACATAGACTTTTTAAAATATCGTATGAGAGAGGAAACTCAGTTGAGATGCACAGAACCTCTAAACTCCTTTTTTAGAGCATGTGAGTTTCCAGGGATTCGCAGTGTTGTACCTGCTGAGTGAAAGCTACCGGCAGTGACCTTGCTGAGCACCTACCGCAAAACTGTCCTGTTCTGCTTCCCTCCCACCCCTGCAAATAACAAAATGTTCCACATTCCTAGTGAGGCATTTTGGAAGACTTCTTCGGCTATCTGGTTGAGCTGACCATACATGTACCACGTCAGGCCCAGGAAAAGGTGCCATATCTCTACAATGCTCCAGGCACAGAAAATAAAAAATAATTGTGACTGAAGACTCAGATATTCTCAATTTCCCATATTAGAATCTCTAAACTCTTAGTCCAGCTCTGACATATCTGACAAAGTCTAAAATTTTGCTCAGAATCATTGTCATCCCATTTGGACTGATTAGTCATGTTGGTCATTTATTGATTAATTTTTATATATAAGGAAATCTGCTAAATGCTTTACACAAATGATTTCATAAAAGTCTGTAACATGAATATCGCTTTGCCCATCTACAGATGAAAACACTGAAGCACAGAGAGCTCAAGTAACTTGCCAAAGATCACGCAGCCAATAATCAGCAGAAGCAGGATTCAAACACAGATCTTCGTGACTGCTAAGACCACAAACTGGCCTGCTATGGCATAACCACGGTCCTTGCTCCCTGCTCCCTGCCTGTTCATCCCCAGCGGAAGAGGCCCCTGTTGGAAAGAAGTGTGTCTGTGGTTGAACAGAGGGCTTGGGCACCCGGTTATGGCGCTAAATCCAAAAGGAATGAGAGTGTGGGGAGGTACGCGAAAGGCCAGGTCATGCAGGCAGAATAAATTTTCAGATCATCTGCTGCCTTTCTCCTCTCCTAGGCAGTGTCTAAGCAATGCCTGTTCTGGAGACAGCAAAGCCACAGGCTAGGTTCCTCCCTCCCCTCTCTCACATGCATGACAACCACAGCCTCTTCCACCACTGGGCCTCAGGCTCGCCCGACATCCTTTCCCTCGGCTCCCACCTCCCGGCAGCCACAGCTTGGTTCCCCTGTCGCCTGACCTGACCATTCAGCTGGAGGAGCTGACACCAGCCCTCTTACCCAAAATCTGACCTCCACTTCTCTCCTGTTTGCCCTACTTGCCAAAGTCAATTTCACATGAGCTGAAGTAAGGTATACAATGATTCTCATCTGAATTAGAAATGTCTGGAAAGATGATGGTTTCACCTCAAAAACCGAGTCTGTAACATGGATCTGCAGACAGGACGAAGGAAGACGCGTGGGCCTCAGTGACGTCCACCACGAGATGCAGCCTCGGGGACCCCCTGTCTCCAGCCCACGGGGGAGGGTTTGTTCCTACAGTAGTCAGTGTAAAAATCTAATCTTTTTGCAGTTGTCAGTGTAAAAATCTAATCTTCCTGCAGTTGTCAATGTAAAAATCTAATCTTTTGATAAGCAGAAAACTCAATTCTGGTCATATTTTCTAAATTGGTTTATGCCATGCATCTTATGTCCATTTAGTACAGCATACATATTAATCTGCTAGGTATTCTGTACTAAATGGACAATATTAGCAAAAGATAACACTTAGAAAGCTTTTACCATATGCCAGACACTAAGGGTGCTGCATAAGTCAGTCTGTTTAATCCTCAGAACACCACTATGAAGTAGATGTGATTATCCCCAGTTCATAGATAAGGAGACTGAGGCACAAGGAGGTTCAGCAGGAGGTCAGGACCATAGATACTAAGTGGTGCAGCTGGTCTTTTAAGCCAGGGTGTCTGACTCCAGTCTGTGCTGCTGGCTGTAATACTATAATGCAAATGCTACCGCGCGCGTGCGTGTGTGAATGTGTGAATGTGTGAGTGTGTGTGTGTGTGAATGTGTGAGTGTGTGTGTGTGAATGTGTGAGTGTGTGTGTGTGAATGTGTGTGAATGTGAGTGTGAATGTGTGTGTGTGAGAGTGTGTGTGTGTGTGTGTGTGTGAGACCACTGATCTAAGCCTAAGCATCAGGGATGAGAGTGTTAGCATACTCTCCGCTGTAAAACACGGACAATCACAGTCTAATTTGTAGGTTATGATTCATATTTGGGACAATTTCTATTAGAGGAGATGAGTGGATGCAAAGTATTTAGCAAAAGCAAAATGAATGGGAACCACCGTGAGCAACGTCAGTGCTCTTTCTGCGAGTGACTGGGGGAAATTGGGCGTGTAGTTTGTATGGTGACCACATATTTCAAGCCAGAAAAAAGGGGGGGGGGTGGCTTATGGGATCAAATAGAATATTTGCAAGGTAGATTGCTAGGAAATCCAAAATACTTAATCTTCTACTAGCTGGTCTAGCCATAACTGAGAAATGCATGAGCACTAGCTGCAAAAATATTTCAACTGAATTTGTCACATTTTTCGTTTTTAACTTCGCTTTGGAAAATACTCTGAGATAAGGAGGATTGGAAAACACAAAGATGGATTTCCCACATCAATCCAAGGTCATTAGAAGCAAACAAAAGTGTGGGTGATGTTTAACCAACATTAGCCAATATTTGCAAACTTTAATCCACAAGGAAGATTCTTTTTAATGCAAGACAGATTTAAAATATTATTAACAATAGAAAAATAATAGTCCTCTCAAAAAACTTGCATATAATATGTATATATTAAGGCTACACTTATTTTTTAAAATAATCTAGTTCTTTGTACCTTAAAAAAATAAATTTATGGGGGATATATGGTGATGGAAAAAATAAAATAAAGAAAAATAAAAATAAAAAATTAGTTAATTAAAATTCATTAGATATTAGATGACTATACATATATTGGCCACATTTATCATCCTAGATATGTTTACATTCTCAGTACAGTAACTGGCAATTGATAAAATATATTTTAAATATTTTATAAAATTCTTCCAATAAAATTAATTCTACATCACTAAAATTTTTTAATATGTGTGATATTAAGTATTTGAATAAGAAAAAGGATGCTGTTAAATTTAACTCTAAAAATATATGGAAATTTGATTTTTAATTTCACCATTGAAGTGGTCAGTTTTATTTTACTAGGTATTTTGAAGAATTGAGGAATAATTAGAGGAAAATCTAAAATAAATGCTGGGTGTTGGTTTTTTTTAATCCTCACCGAGAATATTTTTACATTTATCTTCAGACAGAGTGGGAGGGAGGGGGGGAGAGAGAGAGAGAGAGAGAGACATCTATGTGAGAGAGACACATCCATTGGTTGCCACCCACCCGGTCAAGGAGGGGGGGCAGGGCAGAACCACAACCAAAGCACATGCCCTTGGCGGAAATCAAACCCTGGACTCCCTGGTCTGCAGGCCAATGTTCTACCCGCTGAGCCAAACCAGCCAGGGCAATGCCTGGGTTTTTAAACTTTGTCTTAGTAAAGTTAGAAATCCATGTATATAATGGCAAGTTGAGGCAACACTCTATAGAGAAGAGGGAGCATGTAAAACTGATAATTCTTGCTAATAATACTTTTTACTAAACACCTGTTCAGGAGTGCCTGAGAATTGTGTCCATGTCTTAGGTTGTCTAGATTAGTGATTTGCTTCTACATATAATTAACCTGAGATTTGTTCCATGTATCACAAGTGTCCAGTTACAAAGTAAACCTTTCTAGAACTAAAATCTGCCTTCTGCTAATGTTTAACAAGTCTGCACCTTTCCCCAACCTCCCCCCTCCCCTCACTTCTACTAAATTAGTTACACGCAATCCACCGACATATTAGGACCATTTCTGTCTTTTGCTTCCAGAAAATGAAGTTGCACATAATTCATCGACATACTCAGCCCATATCCGCCTTCTCCAAGTGAGCACTCACCTCTTCTTCCCCACTGTTGGGCACCCTGCAGTACACCTCCCCTGTAGAGGGATCGTAGGAATCTATATACGAGTTACAAGGGAAGAATTTTCCATCTATGAAGTTTTCCAGCATCAAAAGTGTCTTTGTTCCAGCCATAGTAAGAAAACTCCTGCCTTTGCCCTGGAGGCTTGTTCGGTTAGGTTATCCCCACCACTTTTCCCTACTGGAGTTAGCCGCCTCCTCCTCTCCAGCCCGAGTCTTAATTTGCCAATCAGCGAGAGGGGAGGGAGCTGGCACTCAGAGATTCCAGCCTCCAGGCGGAGCGAGGAGAGCTCCCAAGTACTTCAGACCTCCAGCGCATCCTGAGAAACGGGTAACTGTGTCAATTAGTCACCAGCTTATGTGTCCACGGGCCTTTAAAATTCCCAAAAGGCTTCTGTGTGTGTCAGTACTGGGCTCACCCCAAAACGATACATTGCTCAGATGCTGATTGTCAGGCCCTTCTCTATAAAGTAATTGTTAATACCGCCCCAATTTTGTAGAAGAAATCAGCCTTAGAGGCTAATTTGTCCAAGATTGAAGTTAGTAAAAGTAAGCCTTTGTCTCTAAACCGTGTGCTGTTTCCACAATGCATCTTTGCCCTCACTCCACACAGGCGACTGAGAGCTGGTGGTCAGCAGAGGGGCTGGGAGGGGGGAGGGATGGAGCAAAAAAGAAAATCAAAGGAGAGAGAACTCATGGACTTGAACACAGTGTGGTGATTGGGTGGGGGTGGAGGTGGAAGAGGGCATACAGGGGATAAATGGTGATGGAAAAAACAAAGACATAAAAAAGAATACCTATCAAAAAAGAAAAAGGGCTGGCTTCTCTACCTGAGATGCCTGCTCTCTCAACTCCCTCTCCTGAAATGAGGGCTGCAAAGGCAGTGCCCAGCTCCCTGGGTGTGCTACGGAGGTGAAGCTGCAAACAAAAACAGTATGAGATACAACGAGCGAGAAAGTCCTATCTGTGGTGTATGTATCAATCTGTGGTGTATGTGTCAATTTCTACATGTGGTGTATGTATCAATCTGTGGTGTATGTTTCAATTTCTACAAATCCGTAAGAGAAATAAACAACCCAACAGAAAAAATAAGCTCTGGAACCCCCCAAGAAGACAGTTGTTCTGTATCTTTTCTAGGTTTTTTAGGTAAATGTTTAATGACTTTATTTAATATATGTTGATAATAATATTTAATGCTCTACTCTGATTCTACTTATGTATAATGCACATATATTTGTATAGTTTATACATTACATATTTATACATTGCATTATATATTAGTGCATATATATTATATATTTGTGCCACTAATTCTATTTTAGTTGTACCTAATCTGTTTAATCTAAACACAGTATCAGTTTTTAGTTTCATTTATTATATTTTTCATTTTTAAGAGTTACATTTGTTTGATTTTAAACATGTCTGTCATTATTTACATGCTATTCTTGCTTATTCACATTTCCACCTTTTATTGAAATATTAAAGATTTAAATATTTCACCCAGCTATTTTATGTTCTGGAACCAATAATTCCAGTATCCGTAGTACAGGATGGGGCGCTTAGCCTGTTGAAGACATTCTAAACTGAAAGGCGACTCCGTATCTATGGTCTGATCCACATAAGTCTCCAAGAATAGCATTTACCTCACTATCAAATTCTTGAAGGAAACCTGACTTATAACTGTATTCTCTTTGCCTATATGTTCATTCTTTCTACTTTATTATGTTACTCAAGTCCTCCGTAACCTTTGTTTCCATGATCTATAAGGCAGGGCTGTTGAGAATTCTTTAATAATTATATTTATATCCTTCAATTTTTTTATTTCTAGTAAATTTTCATTATGCATTTTAATACTATTTGGTACTTAAGTTTCATTTTTGTGCTCATGGGTGTACCTCTTATCAATATGAAATGGTTCTGTTGATCACTGGTAAGGCTTTTTGTTTGCTTGCTTGCTTGCAATTCTGAGTCCAGTATTAATGGTTAGTCCTGATTTCTGGAGAGGTTGCGTAGTATAGTGAACATGCCTGCCAGTCAGACTCCAATACAAATTCAAATGGCTCTGTAATTGATTTATTGGTTTTTATTAAACTTCATTTTTCTTATCTACAGACTGAGGTTAATAATGCCTGCCTCATATAATTATAATAATGTCATATTAAATGAACTATTGTATGAAAATTACCTGGCACAAGGTAGACACCCAACCCATGGTCATTTTTACTTCCTTGATACTCCTCTTTTTTCTTGCAATCTCTGGTTTTATTATAGGCATATATTTGGAAATAACATACCATTAGCTTTGCAGTTTGAGTCTGTTTAAGAGAAAAATCTAAACGTAATGCTTTTTCTTCCCCTACCTCATGTCCCCATGTTTGAGGTATAATTTGACTTATTTTTTATACTATTAATTTACTTCTACACATTTCAGTGGTTTCAACATGAGAAAAAGGAGCTTCTGAGAACTGAAAGCTGCCTGGCCCTCGAAGCTAGGCCACGGTGTTCTGCAGAACTGAACAGCTCCCAGGCCTCCTATGTCACACAGTCACTGTGACCCTGATGAAGGGAGAATGACCAAGTCATTGTGCAAACCACAGAAATGACTGGGCAACCTCCTCTGTGGCTAATAGTGCACCTGCTGCTGCTTTACCTTGTTCCATTGCTACCTCCTAGATGAAAACTGATACCCAGTTGCAGAATTCCTCCCACCTCCTGACAGCACCCAATCCAGAAGAAACCCTCACTCACTTGAGCCCTCCTCAAAATTAATTACGCATGCTCAAAATCTTTAACGACCCCCCTCCCAACAGCTTCTTTCTAAGAAGCACCAAGGTGTGTGGTCTCTTGCTGCAGTAAGCCTGGATAAAACAATTTTGACTACAATTGTGTCTTGGTGGTCTTTGACTAACGACATCAGCAAATGAGGGGCATCAACATAGGCTTGCTACAGAATTTTCTACCATGATCTCCCCAATCTTAAAGCTTTCAACTACCTCCTTATGATGAGCATTTTAAATCCTACCTCCCTACACCTTTCACCCCTGTCCCAGGACATCTGAGACAGTCTTATCTCAACTATAAACAACGTTGTAGCTGAGGAATGAATGTGTGGGTTATAACACCTCCAACTTCAAGTTCTCTGTGCTGAGCTCCTACATCTTTTGGAATTTAGTGCTGCAGAAAAGACGGGCTAATTTCTTGTTTACCTTGGCGACATTTGGGGGAGTTTGCTTTGTTCTCAGGCTTTGTTTCTATCTTAAAATTTTAAATGTTTTAACAGATAAAGTGGCTGTAATCCCTTTGGGATGTTTTCCATAAAATATGGCGCTCTCTCTTCCTGTGCACTCCTTGGGTCTCAGTTCATTTTCATCTATCTGTATTCTAGGGGTGGCCCCCAAGGACCACTTCATCATCAATTCCCCTTTCTGTAATTATTAACTATTTTCACAGCCTTCAATGAATATTTGAACTTTGCCATTATGATTTAGGTTCCCATGTAGTCACTTCTAACCTCTATTGATTCTTAATTCTGCAACTGTCTCATATACTTAGACTCTATACAGCAATTACTTAAAGAAAACTTTTGTTTCCTGCAGTACACCAGAAAGGTGTTTGCCTCCAAGTGCTGAGAAAACTCCTCTTCATGTACTGCAGACGTTTCCACAGGCCTGCTACTGTATTCTTAAATCATCTTTAAATAAAGAGAAATATTTCCAGCCCAGTGTTGGAAAGTAAGACTGTATCAATTACTCTCAACCACCTCACAGTCCACTTGAGTGCTAGCAGAACCCCTGGAGACAGTGGACTGCAGGTTCCCCTTCTGAAATACAAGCACCCTTGATTGCCCAGGCTCAAGAGGCTCACACCAGTTCAGGAAAGACTCCAATCTGGGGCTGTGGTTCAGAGACAAGAGGACAGATGCAGTTCTAATGTTAGCTTATAACAAGTTTTCTTTTTTCCTTCACTATAAAAATAGCCCCTTCCCACACAGCATTGTAATGAAGATAAAAATGTGTAATTTTCAGATAATACAGATGAAATTAAAACATCCATAATGCTACCACCAGCATTAACGCTTTCATTTACTTAACAATCAGATGCACTAGAGGATTAATTTCTGAACAGGCAGGAGAGAGGTGGTGATTACAGGTTGAGTTACTTGGACTCAAAAGAACCTTTTCTGTTTTTTTATTTTTACTTTATTATTATTTTTTGGTATTGATTTTAGATAGAAAGGAAGGGAGAGGGAGAGAGAGATAGAAACACTGATGAGAGAACATGGACTGGCTGCCCCATGCATGCCGCCCACTGGGGATTTGGCCCACAACCTGGGCATGTGCCCTGACCGGGAATTGAACCGGCAACCTCTGGGTACATGGGTTGATGCTCAACCGCTGAGCCACATAAAATTTTACTTCAGGATTAATGGCTCCCCCTCCTCACCCAGGGTCTTCGGCATTGTCTTTAGGACACATTCCCCGTTTTGCAGTTTATGGGACTGGGAACCGCCCTGGCCGGGCTGTCAGCCCTACGAAGGCCTGAACCCACAGCTACTCCTGTGCACGGAATACGGCGGGTTCACGCTTAGGGGGAAAGGGATGTTGTTCTATTCATGTATTTCTGTGGTTATTTTTTAATTGAATTTATTAGGGTGACATTGGCTATTTTAAGGGAAATTGGAGGATGATGACCCAGTAGTTTTTACTGGGCCTTCTTTTTATTTTTTTAGCTCTATAATCTTGAATAATTCCTATATATCAGGGTCTGTTAGTTTGTATTTTACATGATTAAAAAAAGCTACTAATATTTCCACTGAAAAATCTTGACTATATTACAATGAAAAGATCTTAACTAATGATCACAACTATGTAAAAAAATAAATATGCTCTGGAGAGACAGAAAAGAAATACATCAAAATGTTAGCAGCAGTAATATTTAGACAATGAAACTATGGGTGAATTTTATGTTTCACTCTACTTTTCTATATTTTCAAATATTACATGTTACAGTGGTTAATATTATTAGGGAGCAGCGTATTTATGGGAGAAAAAGACTTTAGAAAAGTTTTCTAAAACACTTCTCACATGATAAATACTGTGATAAATAATAAATGTGTGGGGAAAACACACTCGTTGACCTACAATGTTTTCAGGCCACGTTATCCTATAGCAATTGATCAGCAGAGCCTGAGTCAGAGCACAGACAAAGCCACTGGTGTGAAGAAATGGTGAGACCACAAATAGGAAGAAGTCAAGACAAGAACTTGAAATCAAATGACACAAAATGTGGGTACTAATTAGTATGGACGGAAGTCGCGGGGGGAGGAAATCAGACCAAAACCAAGAGTGGGCATTACTGCGCCTCGTCACTGGGCCCCACTGCCCACCCTGTCCTCCCAGGGTGGGTCCTCTCCATCACCACCTTCGACAGCTGTGGACACAATGTGCGTAAGACTGCACTTCATCGCAATTTAAGGACAAAGAAATACTCATTCATTTCTATTACTGCTACTAATATTTGTTTTATGCTAAATTCCTATTTAAAATCTTTAATTCTATCATGGTCTTACTGCAGAGTAGACATTTCTTGTTTTTGCCGCCGTCCCCAACCCTTTTCCCCTTCCTGATAGCACCCTGAATTCCCAGCTCCCCCCAGAGTTCTCAGCTGTGTATTTTGAGTGATATTCATTTCACTTCCAGCCCAAGGCTGCCCCAAGGAAATAAATTAAACTCAGTTATAGTCAATGATAACGTTTCCAGGGCTTCTGGAAGAAATGCTCTCGGTCTGTCCTTGCCCTGGAGGAGGGTCTGAGTACCTAAGTGTAGACTCTCAGGGGTCTATATGGAGTCTGAAAGCAACACGGACACGAGAGAAGGCCGAGTACAGAGAAGTCCCTGCTGACACTGTGACTGCTCCACTGAGGCCGACTCAAAGCCAGGGCTACTGCTACTTTAAATTAATTTTCTGTCAGATGCATCTGTTAAATTCCTCATGAATATAATATATAAATAAAACACATTCTTACCTTAGCAAGTTCCTACAGTGCTACCTACACAAATACTTCTTAGTAAAGGAATGTGCTATATGGGTGTGTTTACTTTGTGGTCCCTCACCAAGCAGCACATTTATGCTCTGTGCACTTTATCACGGATGAGTCGATTAAGAAAACATGCTGCTGTATGTATATGGTAAGCCTGATCGCACCATCACCCAGTCTTAGAAGTTCGTCATCCGGCCCATCAGATCAGACTTCCAGGCTCAGCTGAGGGCAAAATCTACTCTAAAGCCACCAGTGCCCAGGGGGTAGCCCAGCAATATACTTTGGAGTTTGTTGTTGACACTTGAAGGAAAGCATGGCCCTTACTCACAGGGGACTTACAGTCTATTAGGTATGCAAGGCAAAGATAAAATTATCACGTATGTAGTTCTAAAACAGAATGGGAAAAATAAAGTTAAGTTATGGTTAAAAGTGGTTAAGACTAAATTTAATCTGCTATTAGGAAAGAAAAGCAAGAATTTGTGTGAAACAGTTGGGAAACTTAGGTGGAAAAGATCCCACAAGCACTGGCCAGTGCAGCTCCGGTTGCTGTGTCATCCCATGCACCAAAGGGTCCCCAGTTCGATTCCCAGTCAGGGCACATACCCAGGCTCCAGACTCAATCCAGGTAGTGGGTGGTATAGGAGGTGGCCAAGTGATGTTTCTCTCTCCCTTTCCCTCCTTCTCTCTCTAAAATCAATAAAAACATATTTTAATAAAAGAAAAAAAAAAAGATTCCATAAAACTGCAAAGTCATATTTAGTGATAGTGGTAGAGAACCGCATATACATTTAAGAAACAAAACACACTTTGCTGTTATGCTCAAACTAAGACATTTTATTAGTTAGCTTTATATCTTAAATAGCTTGGGTAACAAAGGAAGAGTTTCCATTAATTCCAACCTAATCTTTCAAAAGTTTACTTGTTGGAGGAAGAACATTCTTATGATCAACACAAAATACCTTTATTATTATAACCTTCAGCAAATCTTTTCTTAGAGTTAATAAAAAAAATTATGCTGGTCAAATATTAACTATCTCAACCACCCAATTTATTTTTCCTTAAAATTTATGCAGGAGAGTTGAAAACCAAGAGAACACTGTAAACATTCTGTGGTTTGGCTGGAAGTAGAGTTCATTTCATGATGATTCAATTCTTTTAGTACATATTTCAGAAAGTTTCCATAAATCTCAGCAAAGTAAATCCATTTCCTAACATTTCAAAGGTAAAGGCTGGTTTTTAAAAACCAGCTTTGCAACTGAAATTGTTCCAGGAGTGGGATCAATGCTTCTTTGCAGCTGATTACAGCTTTAATTTTCTCTCTTATTTAAAAAAATATCAACTGCACACTGTTCCTCTAACTGAAAAACTGGATTCTTTACAGAGCTCAGTTATTTCCTTGCATTTGGAAACATCGGAGAAATTCTGACCCATCATTCTTTTATCTGTAAAGGAGAAAAACACACTTGTTAAAATTTAATCAATCACATTAAAAGAACAAACAACAAAGGCAGATGGCAGAGAAATCATTTTATCAAGACGAATGAATCTTTCTTTTGCCTGCCCTTTGCCCTTCCCTAGGCATACCCTTGCGGACACTGACTGTCATCTCTCCATTTCTCCACGAGACTGGATCCTGTTTGAAAATGCTGGGGCAGAAAGTACTCGAGGGAGAAAAGTGCTCGAGCTGCCAGGAGTCAGTGGAGCGGTGGCACAGACGGCCGGCTTGGCTCCAGAGCCTTTTACACGGCACCCGGACAACTGGATTTTGATACAACCTAAAGCCGTGTTCCATGCATAATGACGTGAGTTTTATGCAGAATATAATTATATAAATGAATTAAATCCCCCTTAAAAATATAATATTCATAAGATTTATATTGATCAGGATAGTGTGGAAGAAAAAAATTACTGAAATTTTCTGGTTCATTTCTGGCTATTTTCTCCAAAACTCAACTGCACCTCACATTACATAATAGGGTAGTTTGAGAAACATTACTAATATGTTAACTGACTTTTGAACAAATCATTTCAAATGCCCTGAAAGCCAGTTATTTAAAGAAAAAATTTTAATGTGGGATCTTCTATTAAATAAAATTATTACCACCAGCCCTGGCTGGTTTGGCGCAGCAGTTACAGCATCGACCCGTGGACCAATGAGTCACGGGTTCGATTCCAGTCAAGGGCATGTACCTCAGTTGCGCTTCATCCCTACTGCTGGTCGGGTCGTGCGGGAGGCAACCAGTCAGTGTGTCTCTCTCACGTCGATGTTTCTCTCTCTCTCCCTCTTTCCCAGTCTATCTGATAATAAGTAGAAAAATATCCTCACATGAGGAATAAAAACAAATCACAAAACAAAAAAATTACTACTCCCAATGCATTTGACTTTTAAAGTCTGTATTCTCATAATTTGAATTGCATACTTAGAGACTTTTCAGTGATTTCCTTTCATTTTGAACGATGTTACTGGTGGAGAACATAGTGTAGAAGTCTCACTGTGGGAAGTTCTTTTTTTTTTTTTCCAATATTTTGTTCAGATAGAGTGAGAGGGAGAGAGAGAGAGAGAGACATCGACGTGAAAGCGACACATCGAGTGGTTGCCACCCACACGACCCAACCAGGGCCGGGGACAAACTGCAACTGAGGTACGTGCCCTTAGCGGGAACCGAACCAGGGTCTCTCTGGACCACAGGCCGATGCTCTAACTGCTGAGCCAAACCAGCCAGGGCTCACTATGGGAAGTTCTAAGATCAAATATTTTCTTCTCATCTTTCTTTTAATTTTTTAAATATGAATCTTAAAATTTATTGTTCTAACACCATAACTGTGTCCTCCTTAAGCTATAAAATCTCAGTAATCATTCTTAAAAAGTAGAAAGAGTTATCATAACCACGGATCCACAGCCAGTCACTTTAAAATACCTCAGTGACTACACCAGCGGCTACCGTGGAACCGCTGTAACGTAGCATGAATCGCCCCAGCTCCTTAAAGTCTTTGTACAGCTCAAGAGCGACTGGTCTTTGCGTTTGTAGCTCCACCAACGCATTCTGGCCTTTAGTCAACAATCTATCAAGGAAAAAAAAAGAGGAACAAATGAATATCCAATAGAGGTGAATAAATGTAATAAACAATTTGAAAAATACATATCTCATACTCAATCAACAAATCAACTTAGTCTTTCAAAAATTTAAAAGGAAAAACAAATTTTCTTAAAATGAAAATATGTCTTTTGAATTTTTCAGGGTTAGTTGGAAAAAAAAACCCAAAAGAATAGAAATTCTAGATTTAAGATTTAAGGACTGTGTGTGTGTGTGTGTGTGTGAGTGTGTGTGTGTACGCACGCATGCGTGTGCATATATACACATATACACACACAGAGAGAGATATGAACTAATATTTCTTTATATACACACACACATACACACACACAGATAGACAGATATGAACTAATATATACATATACACAGATAGATGGATACGAACTAATATTTATATATATACCAAACTTTCAAATGTAATGTGAAGGACGCTATGACTTAAAGTATGCTCAAGGCCCCTCCACCAAAGCCTGTCATTCCCTCAATGAAATCGAGAGATTCAACTATCTAATCAAGAAACTGAGGCGCTTGCTTTAAAAGAGGAATGCAATGCCCTGTGTCTCCCTAGCAAAATTCTGATTAATAAATTGTGTGTTAGGAAGTTATCTTTAAAGAGTATAATCTCCTAGTGCAACATAGAAATAGTGGCTCCTTACCAGAGGTTCAGGAAAAAATCACATAAGATTCCCCCCAGTGTGATGTTTGTAGGAAATGAAGGGGGATAAAGCATGGGCGTGATTATAAACAGGTTCACAAGATAAGTGAGCAAACAAAAATCCCTTTACATGGGCACAACACCCAAACTTACTACAAGTAGTAGAACCCAAAAGCGGACATTTTGACATTGTTCTCTAATTTGATTTTGATGTGCTCTAGAAGGACAGAGGACAGCAATCATAATTCACAGTCTGAGACATCAGTTCAGGGACAGACTGACAGAATAAGCCAAATAATTTTCTAAAAAAGTATTACAAAATTTCCAAATACTGGTTTTGGACAATTTCAGCCCAAAGTCTCACTCCTTGGGAAAGAAAAGATCCAATATATTTATTTATTTATTAATTTTTTTTTTTATCCTCACTCGAGGACATTTTTCCATTTTTTTTTTGTTCAGGTAGAGTGGGAGGGAGAGAGAGAGAGAGAAACATCGATGTGAAAGGAACACATCGAGTGGCTGCCACCCTCACGACCAACCAGGGCCGGGGACAAACTGCAACCGAGGTACGTGCCCTTAGTGGGAACCGAACCCGGGTCTCTCAGGACCGCAGGCCGACGCTCTAACCGCTGAGCCAAACCGGCCAGGGCCCAATATATTTATGATTTGCACTTAATTTCTAGAAAGGTCATTTCCATTCCATACAAAGTAATCAAGTCTACAAAGTGCCTATAATGGAATTAAAGGAAAAAGCCAAATAGTGTTGGTGCAAAATAGGAGAAAAGGACTAAGGTGCAAGTAAGATAACAGGGAAAACTACCATGAGAATATATCAAGACCTAATACCACCGAGCTAGGCCTTTGAAGGGGAAATTCAGGATTAGATCTGATGAGCCAACTTCAAATGGAGAATTCTCCGAATCACTTGTCTGGGTCAAACAACCTGGCTCCTGTCAAAAACATGGTTTATGTGAACCAACTGACTATGCTAGAATCCTGGCTCTGCTATGTGCTAGCTCTGCGACCTTGAACACATTATACAATCTCTCTAAGCCTCAGTTTCCCCATCTGAAAAAGGGAAAGATAAAAGTACCTCTGTCATACAGTTCCTGAGCATATAAACCATGAGAAAGCATTCATAGAGCCTAGAACACAGTAGTCCTCAAGAAATGTTAGCCTTTAGTTATACCTCATTTCTCTGAACATTGTGGCTAACGCTCATGCTAGAAGCTAAAGGCTGAGGTTAAAGTAAAGAACTCTCTTTAAGAGATAAGTCCCCCTTGCTGCACAGCTGATGGAGAAACAGGCATGGGTTAAGAGCAGCGTGAAGATTTTCTCTTCTACTTGCAGCCAACCCATTAACCCACTAACCACCTTTGGCCTCTTGCACAGGTGCAAATGAGGAGGAACACCCAAAGATGGATAAAAGGGTATTTTGGGTGGGATTCCCCATAGAACTGAAGGGAGGAAAACCCCAAAGTTGAAGTAGCCAAGCTGTGGTTCGCCTTTAGTTGAATTAGGGCTAGAAACTCAAGTTTCTCAGGAAGTACATCCTTTGAAAAATCCCAGCCTTGTCCGAGCCAAAGGGCAATGGCCCACACCTAGGTCTAGATATTAATGGCAAGCACAGGGGACCAACGTGATGGCGAGGAGCGCAGCTACGGTTCTAGGTGGACATGGAGCAGAAGGAAAACACTTTGCAGGTGGAAAGAACTAGGAGCTACAGCGTGTGTTCTCCCTGGGTGTAGGTCCCAGCAGAGGGAATGCCTCTCAGTAAGGAGATGACAAGAAAGTTAAGAACACCCAGCTGGCATTTGGAACCAGTGGCTCGGTATGATTCAAATACATCTTTTAAAATGTAGGACTGATTTTTAAAATGCTTTTATCTTTACGTCGCTTGATACATACATACAAATTTATATTTCCATTTTTATTTACAAAAATTCAGACCCCACCACCACCGCCATACAGAACAGAAATTATATGTAGCATTCACAGCTGTGTAGGAGCTTAAATGTTTACTTTTGTGTCTGTTTTAATCTAGCCTTTTAAAAACAAGATTTCTGAAACAAGTAAAAATAGACTTCATTTATCACCCCCAAAAATATTACACAAATAGTCCTGGCCGGTTTGCTCAGCGGTTAGAGCATCGGCCTATGGTCCAGAGAGACCCGGGTTTAGTTCCCACTATGGGCATGTACCTCGGTTGTAGTTTGTCCCTGGCCCTGGTTAGTCGTGTGGGTGGCAACCACTCTATGTGTCCCTTTCACGTCGATGTTTCTCTCTCTCTCTCTCTTCCTCTCGCTCCCTCCCACTCTATCTGTACAAAAAATGGAAAAATGTCCTCAAGTGAGGATAAAAAAAAAAAAAAAAAAAAAAATTACACAAATAAATGACAATGTAAGAAATTTGCTTAAATTGCTTGTTTATTATTTATGCATTAAAACACTTACTTAGGTTTCTTCTTGGTGACCTCGCCTGTGCTTTTGTTTAAGATGCTAATCAATCTTTTAATCACAGCAGGCTCACTCACAGTCTGATAGTGTAACAGCACCTAAAACAAAACATTGTAACACTAAAAATCTGCTTACACAGCATCTCTAGCCTACTATTTGCTCACATTTAATTATAGTAAACGCAGCACTATAGCCGGGAGTCCTTCAGGATCCCCAGTTGCCCCCAAGTCTCAGCACTCTAGTCAGGTTGTTCCTAAACTTACTAGGGGGTAAAGGTCATGGGAGGCAGTTCAAATATCTCCTCCACCACTTACTGTGTAAACCTGACTGAATTACATAACCTTCCTTTTAGGGTGGGGGTGAAAATCAAATAGGATCAGAAATAGAGCCTGGTACAGAAGATGTTCAACAAATGTGAATTGTTTCATCATAAAAATGAGGAAAGGGGAATCATGTGACATTCGACAGGAATTAATGTATTCATTGCTGGATAATGAGAATAAAACATTACAAGGGAGTTTAGACCGGCTTTGAAGTGATAGACCTGAGTTCAAATCCTAACTCCACACTGTCCAGCTGTGCATTTTGGGGCAAGTCCTTTAACAATCCTTTACCCCCAACATCCCCAGGATCCTCATCATGAAAATGAGGAAAACGAGGAGTTAATTTAAAGTGATGCCTAGCCACTTTAAAATAGTAAGCATTCAGTTGATGGCCTTATATATTAGCTATTATTGTTCATGTTTTATATTTAAGAACATTTTATATCAAAAAAGCTAAGCAACTTAATGTTGTTGTGGCGTTATGTGTCTGAGACAAATTTTTGCTGAGGTCAACTGGAGTCAGACCGACTGCTCTCCGTTCAAACAATAAGGACTGAATGCCCACTATGTCTACAGTCTGGGTGAGTGGAAAGATCAAATACCCAGGAAGTGGCAAAGCTATCAAACGATTAATTGGTTTGTAAATACCATTTTATGCTGTTTTCTGAAGAAACACTCACTTCTACTCCAAAGTTTCCTGGCTAAACCAGTTTGCACATTCAGAAAATAGAATTAGGTACAGGGGACTTGTGGCTGTGCATTCTTGGACTTAGAACTTTCTAAAAACAGAGTCACTCAATCAGCACTTTGCTTTTTAGTTCTGTCTGCTTCTCTCTTACCACGGTTATGAAAGCAGCCCAGGACCATCACCTATCATCCGAATTAAAACAGGCTCCCTGGTCTCTCTGCCTCCACGACTGCCCTTGTGTAACCCATGCTTCATATGTCTACCAGGCTGATATTCTAAATACAAATTTAACGGTATATCCTTGCTATTTAAAACCATGGAAACCTGAATTCCACTATAAGGCAGAAGGCCCATCTCAATCTGACCCTGCTAACCTCTCCAACCTCGTCTTTCTCCATCCTCTCTTCCATTCTATGCTCAGACTTATAGGGCTTTCATTCCCTACATGCATCAAGCCCTTTCTAACATCTAGGCTTTCCAGGTACGATGCCCTGTGGGAACACACCTCCCACCCCTGAGCCTTGATTAGCTAACTCCTGCTCCTCCTGGTACCAACAGTGCATCCCTTCCTGCAGGACGCCTCCACCCTAGGCTGAGCTCCACAGCCCTCTGCCCTCTGCCCTATCCTCCCACTACGTCCATCACACCTCACTTGGCTGTAACTGCTAGTTTGAATGTCTGTCATGCCATGCAAATATGAACTCTGTGAGAAAAGAAGTATGAATACCAGTGCCAGACATTTAACTGGCACTCAGTAAATGTGAAATGAACGTAAGAATGAAGGAATAAAGAGCACCTAAAACACATGGAGAAAATCAGTAACATCGGTTTTGGTGGGTTTTTTTTAAAGGCACATCTGAACCTTCATTACTCTACAAAGGAAAATTTGTTTTCTTTTTCAATGATATTTGACCATTAAAAACTGGAAAGAGTCCAGAAAAAATTAACAACCAACTCTTAAGAAGAAAAACAAACCAACAACAACTTCCATGATGCATGGTAAATACAGTGGTTAGAGCCATGTTTGTACATTCAATAGCCGGGTAACAAACAGCACCCATGTAACATAATGTAGGTCTACATAACTGATAAGCATCTCTTTTGCAACAATCAGATAGACAAGCAGAATTCTCCTTTGCTGGTCAGATGTGATTAATTGGTACTGGTCTCTATGGTTTGCCAAATTTGAAAAAACAGAGGCACGTGAACTTCTTAAGCTCCTTCTAACCTTGGTGAGCCATGTGTGAGTTCGGGTAAATTAGCATGAAGAATGGGTTGTGGCACAGGGGGGTAGGTTTTGTCTATCTCCACAGTGTCTTACAGATAGCAGCCCAAAAAAATCCTTGTTGAACACATGAGTGAAAAAATCTACATGTAAATACATGGGAAGTAATTACATACTATCTTAACATTTTAATTCCTATTATATATAACCTAAGTCACCTGTAACTCAAAGTGATCCATAGCATAATGTAAAAGGAAATAAAAAAGTACTGAATTTCAAAGTGAAAAGTGCTGAGTATGAGTTATGGCTTAATCACATATTATACAGATAGTTACAACCTCTCAAGAGTCATCAATTCCTCATCTGTAAATGTGTACGATACTAATACAAGTCCACAAGCCTACAATCTCAAAATCCCAAAACACTGAAAACCTAAGTTTGTCCTAATTCTGTTATAAATGCATTTAAGTAGTAAAATGGGATTTGTATTGAAGTGATGCAATTTATTGACCTTATTTATTTTATTTAGCATTAATATTAATAAGTTGGGGTACAAAAATGTTCAATTAGAGGGTGTTGACCATTCTCTTTTAGGATGTAACACGCATGCATCATATCGCCTTTCTAAAATCTGAACATTTTTTCGCTCTGTAGGGCGCTACCCTGAGGACTTCCAGACAAGGGCTGGGACTCTACTTCATGTGGGTTGTAAGAATCAAACTGTTGCCCTGGCCAGTTTGGCTCAGCAGTTGGAGCGTCAGCCTGCGGACCAGAGAGTTCCAGGTTCAGTTCCCACTAGGCCCTAGCGACTAAGGGCACATACCAAAAAAAAAAAAAAAAAGAATCAAACTGTGTAATAAACTATAATGGGCTACGTAATCTATGTAATCTGTTAGGTAGCAAAATAAGTCAATGGGAAGAGGTAATTTCTGAAAGAAAAATTGAAGAGTTATTTCCCAAAGAAGGCGCTATGAGCTCAAGGCACCATCAAAAGATGAATGAATAAACAAAATGTGGCATTTACATACAATGGAATATTGCTCAGCCTTAAAAATGATTGAATTTCTGATACATGCTACAATATGGACAAACCCTGAAAACATTATGTGAGGTAAAATAAGCCAGAAACAAAAGGGCAAATAGTATTTGATTCTACATATACGAGGTACCTAGAATACTCAAATTCAGATGTAGAATGTGGAACAGTGGTTAGCAGGGGATGGGAGCGGGGATGGGGAGTTAATGGTTAAGGGTACAAAGTTTCAGTGTGAGATAAGGAAAAAGTTCTGGAAATGGACGGTGTTGATGAATGCATAACAATGTGAATGTACTTTATGCCACTAACCTACACACTTAAAAATGGTTAAAACAGTTAGTTTTATGTTATAAATATTATGGCACAATAAAAAAAGTCAAACATGAATTTAATTAAATTCTTCTATTTTTTTCTTCTTAAATATATATAGAGTTTACCATATAAATCAAGGGAAACAAATATACAGGATAGGGCAAAAGTAGGTTTACAGTTGTTCTTTCGAAAAATACAATAATTAATAAATAAACAAGAATAAAATCTGCTTCGTGTACTCACAACTGTAAACCCACTGATGCCACACCCTGTATTTATGTAGCATTAAAAAATTAATTAGCTCCCTAAACAGAAAAATTTTAATTACTTAGGAAGCCTTTGCTTGGTTGAAAAATATATTTTTCAAGTTTTCTTCCCACAGGAAGTGGACAATGACAAAACATGCCTGTTTTTACTGAAACAATTTCATCGTGCATTCGTGAATCGATATACGCAAGGGGAATCTCAGTAGGCAGCACTGAAAAACTTTCAATTCATACTTATTTTTAAGAAAGTACAGTAGACAGGAAAACAGTATTACTATTCAAAGTAACTATTGACCTCTTGACCTCTCTACCTCTCCATTGGCAAAAAGTATTGCTGCATGAGTGAAAACACGCGGTAACCAACCTCTCCAGCTACTCCCCATTGGACATACTGCTTTCTATGAACGAGAGCAATTTGTTCAGAGCAATTAAGTTGCAGTTTCTTGCCTATCAACACATGAATTTTGAATATTTAAAAATTAAATATTTTGAGCAATAACAATTTTTTTGGAGACAAAGTTCTACTTTTTTAACTAATAGGAGAAATGGAATATAATTATACAACTAAAATACTTAAACAGTATTTCATAATTTTATATGATCAAATTTACATAGAATTACAGAAAATCATAAGTAAAGCACATGATTATCTCAAATAAAAGCATGTATATATAAAATGAATTTAAATGAGCTAAATTAATGTATTTCCAACCCCTAAAATACTATCACTAATTTAAGTTTAACAGTCAATTACTATTACTGTCTTACTTTGATTGCAAAGATGCACCAAATGGTGAACTGTTTATATTTTCAAAGGCAAGCCATTTAATTCCACTGAGAACCATTGTTTACTGCCATGCAGATTATGTACTATATAAACTGATAAAGGAAAAAAAAAAGTCTAGTTGGAAAATGCTCCCTTGTTAAGTGGCAAAAGTACCAGTACCTCTAAACAGAGTATGGCCCTGAATATCTGAAAAAAATTACACATAAAACAAGGAATTCAAGCTATGTACAAGTAGCAGTTTTTTCTCTGGATAAGTAACATTACAGCATGAAATCACCCTCTTCCCATAAATGTGTATGTTTCAAATGAAGCTGGTCAATGATAACCTACAAACCAACCTCACAGCACGCAGGGTCTGAAGGTGTTGCTTCAGTACAATTAAGTTTACCCTATGGCAAGCATCCCCAGAACACAACCAAAAATACCAATGCATGGAAAAATACACCGAAATGTAAAGAGCATATATTTATGAATTATGCAATTATAGAACATTCTTATCAACTTTATTTTCTTGTATTTTCCATAACTATATATAATTTTTATAATCAGGAAAACTACAAATAAGCATATTAAAATAAAAAACAGAAAAAGCCAATTTATAATTAGTCAGGTAACCTTTAGAACACAGCAAAAAAGGATCTACTAATTTCCCTGGATGAATTGTATTATTCAGTTTGTATCCTATTGATTATGAAATGTCTACTTAATGCCTCTCTAGAAAACATATATGGGCTCAAGGATCAAAATAAACATGATTTTCAAATTCTAATTTCATGTTTTTCTGGATTTACTCTAACCCAGATGTTAGCTGAAAGTAATAACCACAGATAAAGTGACTTAGAAATTATAAAAACAGTAACAATAAAACATTTTGAAACTTACAGGAAATCCTTTAGTGATAGGAATTTCAATATTAAAGATGAGGATTCGGGCTCTGAAACGGGTACAAGCTTTAATGGGTTCTTTGGGGCCACAAAATATGCAGCCAACACTGTAACAAAAAGAAAGAAGAGACAAATAAAATTGGGGAACAAATAAATATACATCCAATAGGAATACATCTAAAACTATTTACAAAGTAAAATGATCAAGCAAATTAGGGACTTTTCCTAATATTCCCTTCTGGGTCAGTGTCTAGCTTTATATCATTACTAAACTTATATCATTTTCACACATAACAGCTTTCACTCAAACAACAAGTATGTGTGCTGACATGTATTAATTTCTATTTTAAGTAGATTTTGCTTATCATTCTTATACTTCCATACTGCCTAGTTTGGGCCAAATGAGATTCAGAATTAATAATACTCATTCTTTTCATTTCAACTGGTCAAATGCAAAATTTATGTGTTTTGAGGTCCTATATCCAAAGCAATGGTTGCTTTTATTCATTTTCTCACTCACTTAATTTTGATGATATCCATCCCAACCAACGTAAGACTAACATGATCGCCTGCTGCTGCCCAGTCGACAGGTTCATCATGCAGAGTGATTCCTGGAAATGAGTAAGAACGAAAGAATACAGTAAAACACCTCAATATCAAACCATAACAACCCAGAGAGTTTGGCTAATTTGTGCCTCATCAGTCACTACTCATCATTTTCAGTATGAATGGGCTGAGAGTGAGAAGGGTAACTGTGAATGCTGAGGAAGACGCACTTCCTCTACACTCGACTCTTCTGGCAAACCACCCTAAACATAAAGTGACTTGCATTTGTCCATAAAAGGCTTATTTTGGCTTTTTTTAATCAAGAATTTTAAACTCATTTACACAACTGAGTAAATTCATTAAACAGGCCCCATTCAAATATTTCTCTTATATTAATAGGTGCAGGCATAACAATACAGTTCAAATTCTTTTTAAGAACATAAAAGATGAAACTGGGGAAGGGGTCTAGTCTTCAGTTTGACTTCTAATTAGACCACCACCTAAATGATCGCCAGTGTTCCCCGAAGAACCCACAGGCATCAGTGCTCAGTCAGATGTGTTCTTTCACTAATTCCTGTCTCAAAGGAATAGCTTCCCAAAGAGAGCTGCACAGTGAAAACTGGTTATATAAAAGGAAAGAGACTAAAAAGAAAGAGACTAAGAGTATAAATTTTTTAATTTAAGAATGATCCAGCCCAGGCTGGTGTGGTTCAGTGGCTGAACATCGATCCATGCACCTAGAGGTCGCCAGTTCGATTCCCAGTCAGGGCACATGTCCAGGTTGTGGGTCAGATCCCTAGTGGGGGGCATGCAGGAGGCGGCCAATCGATGTTCTCTCTCATGGATGTTTCTATCTCTCTCTCCCTCTCCCTTCCTCTCTCTCTCTCTAAAATCAACAAAGAAAAAAATATTTGTTTTAAAAATTATCTAGATGTTGCTGTATACCTTTATTACCTAGGGATAATCCTGGAGAACAATTGCAAAGGGCAATATTCAGCTACCTTATTCAAAGACTTAAAAGGAATCTCATATTTTATGATTATATGAGGTGAGTTTAAGCTCCTTTCCACTAACTTTAGCTTTGTGATGAAGACAGTATGTAGGCCAACAACTGGGGAACAGTTAGTTCTTCAATGCCATGTTTTAGTAAGTTATAATTTACCTTCATGTAGCATAAACTTAAGCGAGTTTCTTTAAGACTTTTTGAAAATTCAAGGACAGCTTTAAGGACTCTGAGACAACCTACAGTTTTATTCCAACTTTCATTTTTGTGCACATCTGAATTACTCTGAGAAGAGAGACCATAACTTTCATTAAGGTGTCAAAGAGATTTGTGACCCCAAAACTATTAACAATTATGATATTAAGGAATATATGTTAAACTTTCAACTAATTAAATTTAGTTTTTAAATGTAGATTTTAAATGACCATATCTGATTTGGCAGTGAAATGTGGAACTGAAGGCAGGAGCTAGCTACTTAGCATACAATAGAGATTGCCTTTATTTAAGATCAAAGAGCATTCATACCAGAAATTCAATTAACAATATAAAAATATCTAAAGATAATAGATAATCTGATTCTCTCCCCCTACACATGTTACACTGTCCTATATATGATATCTCTCTTCTTAAGGACCTTCTTCACAGGACAGACATCACACCCAAAAAGTTTCTTCTCAACACTCCATGCATTTGCTATATTAATAAAGTAAAAACGTAATGAAGAATTGTCATTTGTTGATTGCAGATTTAGTCACTTCTCTCTTTTAGGACACTACTGGTTAGCGAGCCACAGTAGCACCTAAAGTGTTCAGACAGAAGTGTGCATTAAGCAACTAAGTAAATGAAGCAAAGCAAAGGGGTTAGAAATTGAGAACCGAGAGCTTCCTCACTGGGTTAGAAGCACAGCTCTCAGGAGGAGGGGTGGTGCTCTCCAGGTGCTTTTGATATGGCTTCCCTTTAAGAACCACTGGATTAAAGACAAATGGGTTGAGTTTTTCTGGAAGGGAAATGACAGAAAGGAGGGAGAGTGTGGGACTTTCAGAAGTGACCAAATTGTCACAAAGGAGTCAATCTGTAAGGTCTATGGATAATTTTAAAACCATGGTTCTAGTTAATGTCTACTAATTATTTTTTAAAAAAACTACCTATTCTCAAAAAAACTTAACATAAATTAGTATTTCAAAAGTATTATAACTCTTAATCACTTTAAAAAAACAAAAACAGAGAGATCCCTAAACAAGTCAGAAAGAAAAAGGTAAAATGGAAAAAATTTTGGCTTTCTTCCCCTATTCATCTTTAAATTTTGGTTAAACTCTGTTACCTAAACAGATATTCATTAATTTCTAATAATCTTTAAGAAATCAGCTTTTAAAGTAAGCATATTAATTTTTTAAATGTATATTTAAATTTATAATCTAGTCAGGTACAACTCTGGATATAAATTATATAAATAAGAGTAACAACAAAAGGAGAAGTACTAAAATTTAATATTCCCAGATTATACTTTAGCTTAAAATTGTTACAAATACTATTACTTTATAGTATGAAACAAATCTTGTTTTATATTGAAATAGAGGCTTAGCTGGAATACTTAATCTTAAAGTTAAGTATGAAATGATAAACTTTTAAGCAGAATTGAGAAAAGAATATCATGTACACATGTAAGATCAAATGATTAGAAGGTGAAAATAATTATCACCATCACAAAAGGTCATAGATTATGTGCAAAAGCAATAATTAATGCACTTTAAACTAGCTCACAGTTTCTCTTTTCAACATCAGGATTCTCTGCATTTATATCTTATTTTCTTAGATCTTCCTTTAAAATATATGTTTTGGGATAGAAACATGATCATAGCTGTTAACATATTTCAACAGACTGCAGCAGTCTGCTTTGCCACTGACTATTTAGTGCCTGGTTGGGCTTGGATTTAATTTCTGCTACTGGATACTATTTTAAATCCTATCTGTCAGATGTCTGTCTATACACCTGGTAAATCTTCACCAGACTTCTCAAATCAGCATCAAAAAAAAAAAAAAATATGCTACCCCAGTTAGAATGCTATAGGTACATATATATACACACAGTCACAACAGAAAAAAATCGTTTAATGTTTTCACATTTTTATCTCCAACAGTTAGTATCATTTTGACAGTCAGTTACAATTTCAGTAAGAGGTTATTTACTCTAGAGTTAATAATTACACTACTTATTAAAATCTGCTGTCTCAACTTAAGGGTTGTTTAGCAAAAGAATTTTGCAAAGAAATACCTTTTGCAGTACAAGTTTCATTAGGAGGCATTGCTAGTAGTCGGTCACCGGTCTGGATATAACCAGCTTCAATTTTACCAGTTACACAAAATCCAGATCCTTGATCTGCAAAACACACCCAAAGCCGATAATGATTCACATAGCAATGTTATCTGATGATTAACACTATTAACTCTATTTGGTTCCCTAGTAGTTACATACAATTGTAGTTCAATGAACATCAATGGTCATCTCAGAATTTTTAACATATCTACTAGTAAATATGGCATATCACATTCTACTCTTGATTTTCTTACAAATAAAAATAACCATATTACAAAAAGTAGGATTTCATTTATTTTTCAAATATTTACTGAATGCTTACTAAGTACCAGGCAATCTAGGGATAAAGAGATGAAAATATAATCATCTACCCATATGGAATTTACACCAGTGAAGAGAAATACAAAAACAATTACATTGTCCACAGACAAATGTTATTTATAACGAACACTAGAAACAGAAAGAGGTGCGCAGAAGAATCCGTATTGAGGGGAACATCGCAGTTTAGCTGGGCATCTAGGAGAAGGGCAGAGATTACCAGCCAGCTTGTGCGGAAGAGCTGGGCATCTAGGAGAAGGGCAGAGATTAGCAGCCAGCTTGTGCGGAAGAGCTGGGCATCTAGAAGGGCAGAGATTAGCAGCCAGCTTGTGTGGAAGAGCTAGGCATCTAGGAGAAGGGCAGAGATTACCAGCCAGCTTGTGCGGAAGAGCTGGGCATCTAGGAGAAGGGCAGAGATGAGCAGCCAGCTTGTGCGGAAGAGCAGGGGAAGAAGGAAGGCACTGCTGGGCCAGGAAACTGCATGTGCAAAGGCACAGAGTACAACCGTGTGTGGCATGGGCTAACTCCCATGTCTCGTTTACATGGAATTTACAGGGACCACATGAAATAATGAGGGAAGGCAAGACATGAGCCAACTGAGGTAGGCAAGGGACAATGATAAAGGGGCCTTGTAAAGCATGCGTAGGGCTTGAATTTCATCCTCCGTTAAGTAATGGGAGCCAGTTAAGAACTGTGAACTGAGAAGGGACATGATGGTATTTTTATCTCAGAGAGGAAGGAAGTTTGACTGAAATGCACACACTGACCGTAGAAAGGGAACAAACTCAAGAATTTGGGAAGAAGGTATAACAGACTTAGGGTGATAATATAAGTGGGGAATAATGGCAAAAGGGGGAATTTGGGGATGATAATGCACTAACTGTGAGATAAGAAATTAAACAATAAGGTCCATTCTAGCCTTGGCGAATTTGAAGTGTCCACAAGACACACAGGTGGAGAAGACGCACTCCAGGGGTCATCAATCACACCAGTTCCATGAGAATGGCAGCCTGGGAGCACACTCCCTGTGGGATGCCCAGTAGCAGTTAGCACATGTATCTGGGGAGTGTGAACAGGCTTGGGTCAGAGACACAGGTTTGGGAAGCAACAGGACACAGGAGGGAAATGACTCGTGGATGTCCACACAAAGGGAGTGTGGAGAGTAAGAGGACTGGACTGAAGCGATAGGATACCAGTTAAGAGACAGCGAAAGAGAAGCCCTCAGAGGAGACACAGAGAAGTCAGAGCCAGACAGGAGAGCAGGAGAAGTGGGTCACAGAAACCAAGGGAGGAACGTTTTAAGGCAGATGTGACTACTGGCCTCAGAAGCAATGCCAAACTCAAGTAAGATGGCAGTGAGACAGAACTGAAAAATGTTCCTGACTTGGGCAGCCAAGAGGTCATTTGGTAACCTTGGTGGGAACATACTGAGGGGAGCAGTGTGGGCAGAAGCCAGGAAGTAGCCTGAAGACAGAATGGGAGATGAAAAAGTAGAGTCAGCAAGCATTGTTAATCAAAACAGAAAGTTAAGCATCTTTTGTATTTTAAATAGATAATAGTAGTTTGGAAAGCATTACTATATATACTCTACTACTAGAATGATAAAAGCTAATAACAATAATACTAACAAATTTCAATTTTTTAAAATGATTTTTGTGAGGCACCTTCACTCATTCATTTATTAAACATTTATTAAGCATGTATTAGGTACCAGGCACTGAGCTAGGTCCTGCAGATACAAAAATAGAAAAGACAAGTCTTTTCCCTCAAGGGAGTTCACAATCTAAGTGACATAGACAATTATAATACTGCATAAAAAATGCAATGACAGAGGATACAGAGAACACAGAGCAACACCTTAGGGTATGTGTTTGGTGAACTAGCCAGTTACCAATTTACTGCTTCTCAGTTCCAAATTCACTCTTGACTGCCTGCTCTGTGAATAACAGAGATTTGGGAAATAATTGATATCTTTACTGTACTGACTTTTCTAATACATAAATATGTTATATCCTTCTACTTACTGAGATCTTTTATTCCATTTCCATTTTATAGTTTTTTTGTATAGGGTCTTGTACTTATTCAGTGAGATGTACTCTGAGGTAGTTAATACAATACCTCCTCCAGCAAGGCCTGTACCCCTTCTATCTTAGGGCGCTCTTCTTCAGCCCAAGGGTACCATAGAGCTTCCTTATATCTTATATCACTCTTTTATCATATTAACAATTCTTTATAGCAAAGGTTCCATTTCACCTATGTGTGGTATCTATCTCCTGACTTAACCCAGACTCCTACAGATGTGGAGGAAATTAATAAAGAGAGAAAAGAGCAAAACATGAGTTGACGTTGTGGCAATAAAGACCCTCCTATGTGGGGAAGAAATAGTGAATGATCCAGTTTGGTGGAAGAAGACAGAAACTAAGGGGTTCTAGCGGGAGAAAATCTATGAGGTTAAAAGATAAAGGATAAGGTTTTTTCATACCTGAAAGATAATTATGAGATGGAGAAATGGTGAGTAAATTGAAGATTTTTCTGGGCAGGGGAGTTAAGAACTAGCACTGTGCCCTTTAAGATTAATTTGGCAGTGATCCTCACATTGGCATTAAGAAGGGAGAATCTGAAAGATAATATAATAATTTTGTCCAAGAAAAGAGGTCAAGAGAGAAGGGCAAGGTGGGGGTCATACTGAAAAAGTGCTGCAGAGGTAGCACTTACCTTTGAAAACATCAGATACACATAATCTAAAAGGCTTATCAACACATCTTTGAGGAGGCTTAAAGGAATCTGCAAAAAATGCCAAAAAGCAAGATTTAATTTAAAATTAATTTTTGACTCATGTCCAAAGAGCCCATTACAACCCCATGTCACTTAGAAAACATATTTTTTATAAATATAAAAATTAATAGCAAATTTACTGTCATTAATAGAATACTTTGTACTTTATAAATGTTTTCACATAGTCTGTGAGGTAGGTAGGGTAAGTATGAGACCCATTAATTCAATAAGGAAAAGTGGCATTAGTTTAAATATTACGTGTGATTTCAAAACTGGTAACTTAGCTCCTCTGACTACAAATCCTATGCTTTTGCACACACATCACTGTCTACCATAAAGAACTCTAAACTAATAATTAATATCAAGTTTATAATGAATTAAAATTAGTAAGGCAGTATTCTTACCAATTTGTTCTAATAAACATAGTCCTTTATACCATTTTGTAAGTTCACTCGACTGAGATCTTGTGATTAGATTTTCACCACTGAGACCACTTGTAGGGATAAAAGCGACATCACTTTCCTATTAAAAAAGATTAAATATATGAAACTTCATACAACATTGTTTTTAAATGTACTTTTTAAAAATATGTTTTTATTGTTTTTAGAGAGAAAGGAAGGGGGTGGGGAGAGACAGAGAGAGAGAAACACAGATGTAATAGAGAACACTGATCGGTGCCTCCTGTGTGCAGCCTGACGGGGGGCAGTCTGGGTCTGTGCCCTTACTAGGAAATCAAACCTGCAACCTGTTGATGTACAGGACGATGCTCAACCAACCAAGCCACACTGGTCAGGGTGACAACAATGTATTTTTAAAAAGTAATAGAAATCGCCCTGGCCGGTTTGGCTCTGCAGTTAGAGCATCGGCCTGCGGTCCAGAGAAATCTGGGTTCAGTTCCCGCTAGGGGCACGTGCCTCAGTTGCAGTTTGTCCCCAGCCCTGGTTGGGTCATGCGGGTGGCAGCCACTCAATGTTTCTCTCTCTCTCTATCTTCCTCTCTCTCCCTCCCGCTCTGTCTGAACAAAATACGGAAAAATGTCCTCAGGTGAAGATAAAAAATAAAATAAAAAATAATAGAAATCATAGAACTATAATCCTGAAATTATCTAATGCAACATTTTCAACTGTTCTGATTTTCTGGGAAATTTACAAATATATTTCAAAACATGCAAGCATTGTTACCTAGTAACATAGGTATATTTCACATTTTTTCAGGAGAAATTCCTCTCCACTAGTTTCTACCTTTCTTCATGATCTCCCTAAACCTCTACAATTAATTTAACAGGTGGAAAAAAAGTATTTTACTTATATTAAATCCAAGCCAATTTACAATATATATGCAATTTAAGGTGAAGTAATAAAAAAAACTAAGAATATATACATGATACCAGGGAAATAAAAACGAAAAGAATTAAAGATACTTAACAAGACAAGGACAGCAAAGTATTCGTTTTTTTCTCATAACAATAAAATGAGACTTAAGGAAAGTAACCAAATAAATTTAAAATTATCTTACCTTAAAACCTGCTTGCTTAAGAAAGTGCCCAAGTTTTCCAGTAATCTCTTGAAACCTTTCTTGTTGCCAATTAACCTGATAAAGATCCAATTTATTTTTAAAACTATTCTTCAGACCACACTATATATAAATTTTAAATTTATGCAATAAAATGTAAATAATCAAGACAATAAAATATAAATATAAAATCTATTAAATATGAAATTCTTTAAAATTAAAATTCAGAATATAAGATCTTACTATTAATATGATCTAAAAGTAACTTCTACAACAGAAAGTCTAGAAATAAACACCGGTACACACAAATCTTTGTATATGTTACAAGTGATTTCAAATTTGGAGAGAAAAAGTGAATAATTTATTAAATTGTGCTTGGACCAACTGCTGAAATAAAATAAAGCCAAATAGACTAAAATTGTATATGTAATATGAACTCTAAATAACATTATGTACGCTGTAGTATTTAGGGGTGAGTGTAGCGATGTCTGTAACTTACTTGGAAATTCATATCAAAATAAAATGGATTATGGATGGATATAGGGGAAGACAGACAATGTGATCAAGCATGTAGTAGAATCTTTAGTGGGTATAATAGAGGTGTTTACTTTTAAATTCTTTAAACTTTTATTTATATTTGAAAATGTTCATACTAAAATACTGGGAAAAGATAAAAGGTATATGCAATAATGATATCACAAGAAAACTATAAAAATCTCTTTATACAAAAATTATTATTACTTAGAAATATGCGCAAAATTTTGTCAAGTTTTTGAAAAAGTAGATAGTAAAACAGATTATAACCCAATGTTATAAAAAAAAAGATTATTATCTATAAAAGTAAATTGTATGGATGTACAAAATGAAAAGTATAAAGTTTTTTAGGGGAAGGGAATGTTAGAAATATAGGTTAGTTCAGGTTTTCTTTACACTAAAATGAGGTTTTCTTATAACTAAAAACAATTTTAAGGTATTTTAAATAATTTTGAAAATAAAACATATTTTTGCTTAAAATTACTCATGTATTATTTACTTAATACCAGAATCATGAATTTCTTTTTTCAAATACGGCAAATGCACTAATAAAATACACTTGTCACATATGAAGTCATCAAATATGACAGAATTGGATCTTACTTAGCATCTAAGATGAATTTTCATAAAGCCTTTAATACCTGATCCATTTTATTGACTGCAACTGCAAGCTGTGTTACTCCAAGAGAGCGAACCAAGAGGCCATGTTCTCGTGTTTGTCCCCCAGTCTCAAATCCAGCTTCAAACTCTCCCCTGCTGGCATCTACAACTAACACGGCTACATCCGCCTGAGGAAGAAAACACAATCAAAACTAGAAATGATGTCACAGCATTTTAATTCAAAGGACAGATTATTCCGTTAACTGTGTTGGTCAGATCTGAAAGGCAAACTCTAACCTGCCATCAAACACCAAAGAAAATCAAACAAAAGAATTACCCAGATGGCCCTGGCTGGCTTGGCTCAGAGGTTAGAGTATTGGCCTGCAGACCAAGGAGTTGCGAGTTCGATTCCGGTCCAGGGCACACACCTGGATTGCAGTTCATCCCCGGCCCTGGTCCCCAGTCCTGGTCAGGGTCATGCGGGAGGCAGCGGTCGATGTGTCCCTCTCCCATCAATGTTTCTCTTTGTCTCTCCCTCTCTCTCCCTCCCTCCCTCCCTCCCACTCTATCTGAAGATACATGGAAAAATGTCCTCGGGTGAGGATTAAAAAAAAAAAGAATTACCCAGATGGATTAAAATTTTTAAATTAAGACAGTACTAGCATGCAGCAGGAAATAAAATGACGCAGAATAAAAAATTCTCATATTTGATTACATAACAATTAAAATATCTAGGTAGAGGAAGAAAAACATAAACAGAATTAAAACGTAAGTTAACAGGAACAAATACTAGTAACGTATGAAGTAAAGGTTACAATCATTAGAGAGACATGGCTAAAAAAAAAACATAAATGGCCAAAAAATATTAAAAAATTCAAATTCATTAGAAACCCCCCAAAAAGGACATTAAAAATGCAATATATTCCTCCCGTTGCCCACTTTTACAAGTTACATTGGCAAAGATTTAAGACTAAATGATTCACTCTAAGTCAGAGTGCAATGAGAAGGGCATTCTCACAAGATGTTTCAAGAGCCTGTATATTTTGCTTCCCATCAACTCCACCTCTGGGAACTTACCCTAGAGAAATAACTATGGATCTACAAAGATATTTGTCACAGTATTGCTTATATTAATGAAAAACTGTGAATCAATGAGTTATCGAAAAATATCATATCACATTTACCCTCTTCAGCCACTAAAAAAAGACAAGAACAGGTTTCCTAACCTTTGTGGGCCATTTTGAGAATCAGATGAAAGACATTTCTCTTCTCATACACAATTTACACAAAAAAAGGAGAAAAAAAGCCTTACTGATACTAGTTTTACAGGTTCCCACCACTCTTCGGTGATGCTTCTCTGTGTGATGACACTTGCATCATGGGGATGCAGCCTTTGAAAATTTGCAGTAAACAGTGCGCAACCACAGATGTTCCTCCATTTTCATTCTCATCAATTATTTTCATCAATGCATTGTCAGGACATTTTTAAAGGAACACTCTTTCATTTTTCCCTTTTATAGTTTTTGCTTGTATGTAATTCCTAGTCTCACAGAAATCTGCTTTTCTGTAACCCAGGATACAGTGACCAACTGTGGCATCTCCCTCTTTAGCTATCTCAGAATGTTAGGCGGTAATCACTCTGTCTCAAAGGTCCTCTCACATTCCATCCACATCAAGCTGCCTGGCCTTTTGGTCAGAACAGAGTCCACAACAGCTTTTCTCTTTGTTGTTTCCTCAATGACACTTATGTTTGTGCTCTCCGGTTTTTGAAGAAATTCACATACATTATCATATAATCCTCACCATAATGGGGAATAAAATGGTTATACAGTAGGTACAGAAGAAGAGCACTTTGTAATTTAGAGTATCATCCACATACTTTGGTAGGGCACTTTGCACTATTATTTCTATTTCTTTTTCCTTTTATTCTTACCCAACTATTCCTTCTACTTAACTTCTACTCTTAAGTGCAGCATTCATTTCCATTCCTTCATAACTCATACTGGTGAACTCTATTTCTTTAATGAGATCCAGTTCTTTCGGGCAAGGGTTCTTACTTGAGAGTGCAAACTGGAGCGATCAATGTGAAAACTGGCTCTTTCACTGATGTCACTAGCAGGCATCACACAGACATCAAGTAAACTGTGTAATCTCTCTGGGTATCAGTTTTTCTGGGTATCACTTTACTCACTTCATGAAACACCAGGGGGTAAATACAGTATATATAAAACACCCAACATTGACCTCCAAATCCAAATCCAAATCCAAATTGCAAATCTCTCTAATCAGGTTTGCTGACAACTATCAAATTAAACTTACTCTCTGAAGTTAAAATTGAAATTCACTGAATTTGTATTAAGATACCTCAGGCATAAGTATTCTTCTTAATCCTCTTTCCTATTGCCATTTCCAAAAAAAAAATACTGATTAATTTCTCTACTCTTTTTGTGCAACAGCTTATCTTTGGGAGCTCAAATCCCTACACAATTTCAAGAAAGCCTTTTGAAGCGGCATAAAGCTCCCTCTCCTCATTGTGTATACTGCATATATTCTTACAGCACATTTGTGTTAGCCTTCTGTCTTTATATGTCATACCTTCCTACACGATGATTTCCTTGAAGAGAGGCAGCATATCCTGTATGCTTCTTTGTGTTTCCAAAAGCCTACCACAGTATTCTGCAAACTGGGTAAATGATTCAATATCTATGAGTCTATTTCTTCATTTGTCACACAATGGCACCCAATTAGATAATCTCTAAAATCCTTTCCAACCCTAATTCCATCAGGAATTTGGAGTAAACAATTTTTATGATCATTCTGGTTCTAGGATTCAAAAATATTTTACTATAAATACTTGTTCTGGTGTTTGCCTCTCCCATTAAACTACCAAAGTGTGTTTTGTAGTCCATCATACCCACACTTCCTACCATAGTGCTTAGAACATGGTGGGTATTCAATAAGTATTAATTTGACAAAGAAAAAAAATACATACATACATACATACACATACAGAGACACGTTATATAAGGAAAAAAGAGAAAAATATATTGTATCCTTTGGTAAATACAATGAGAAGTATATTAATTTAACATGGGGATAATTAGTACTTCATAGAATTATAAGGATTAAACTAAATGTAAAAAACTAGTATAGTGTTTGTCTATGTTAGGCACTCAACCAACAGTGATTAATTATAATTTTTCAATCTTCATAATCTCATTCAGTCCATGAACCTGAAATTATGTATCAACTTTCTAAAACAGAATCAAATACTTTCTCACTTATCTTCAAATATATTTTAAATTATTCATATAACATCCTTTTCAGATTGACAAATGCTCATATTAACATTCTTTTTTTTTTTTTAATCCTCACCTGAGTATTCATTTTTTTATTCATTTCTGAGAGAGAGGTGGGGGGGGGAGAGGGTGGAGGGGAGAGAGAGAGAGATGAAAGAGAAACATCGATCAGCTGCCTCCCTTCCGCACCCCAACAGGAGATCGAACCTGAAACCTTTCGGTGTACAGGACAACGCTCCAACCAACAGAGCCACCCGGCCAGTGCTAACACTCCTTTTTAATGGGTGGAAGAACTCAGAAAATGGTCAATTGCTGAAGTCACATTTTTGTCAAGTGACACAGGCACATTTATGAACTCTGTTTCCCAATAAGCAGTTACTTTCATTGTTTTAGGTGCTTTGTTTTTTCAGTAATCCTATAAGAATCATAAGTTTATAAACTATAATTGTTTTTAACCCTATAAAGAATATAAATAAACCAAAGGGGGAAAACTCCCAAGTTTCATTATTTCTGCATAAATTAACTCTTAATAAATATACAGGACTTGAACATAGTTTAAAAAGGCAGATGTTGAAATTGTTACTCCAATGTAATAAATGAAATATATAAGGCTACCTATACCTCATCAAGCATTTTACCATTTACTATAAAGAAACTCATAGTTTTTACACATTGTTTCTTTGTAATATATGAGAAAAGGTTTTATAAAGTACTGCTACAGAGATGATGAAAAGTATTTCTCTGAATTTTTCAAAATTTTTTAAAGTTAAAATTTTAAATATTTTAGAAGTTATAAGCCTAGAATTATAACCCCAGCATCAGGAAATTTTATGTACGCGCAGCGCACTATAGTTAAGGAAATAACTGGTACCTGGGCTGCTCCCGTAATCATATTTGGAATGAAATCCTTATGGCCTGGAGCATCCATTAAGGTAATAACTTTGGTTGTGGTCTCAAACTTTGTCATACCAACATCCATTGTTACTCCCCTTAAAGAAAACATAAAATGGTTAGAATGCCTATATAAATAATCAGTGTTATGGATTAAATTATTTCATAATATGTTAAATGACCATCTAAATTCTTAGGTAATAATGAAAATTTTATTTCTCAAAGTAATTGACTTTAAGCTATCAATTTGGGCTGGAATTTCTAATGCGTCAGAATTATATCCATATAGCTTTAAAACAAAGTTGTAGATGCAGCAAGAATTTAGTTAAAATAATATTTCTCACTTCTTTTTTGTTTTTGTAAGCAATGTAGATTGCAAAGAAAGAAAGATACATGGGGACGTCTCCAAAAAAGGAAATAGTAAATACTGCACATGAGAAAAAGTAAAATGAAGAATGACCACTATCAGGAGGTAGTTTTCCTCATTTTCTTATGTTTATGCTCCACTGATTATAGAAATAAACTTATAAAACTTTCATTTGAAGATTGTTCAGTATGTTACACATTTAGAAAACGGGATATACCAAAGAAGATGCCCCATTTTTAAAAAATTGAGAAAGATGAACAATAGTTTGTTTCAAATCCCATTTCATCCTTCTTGACAAAAGTGTATATTCAGATAATAAGAAAGCTCAGTCAGGAGGGTCTGCAAAGGTACTAAGTCATTCTAGACTTCAGGAATTTAGAAGAGAAATCAGTGGGCAATGAACTAGTTAATTATTCATCTGGTTTGCCCAGTATAATCCAGAGTAATGAATGAGTACTCCTTTTTTACTACCTAGTGTCCCAGCAATTATGATGATACATTACATGTTCATCCTAGCAGTAAGGCAACTGTGGGACTCCTTACTCAGTCATTCTAGTTTAATCTGAAACCACCAGCCATTTGCACTTCTGAAAATGATACTTCATTCTCTTTAATAATCCCCAAATAACTGCTTTTAGATAAGTGATAAGTGGAGACATATTCCAAGCTCCTCCCTAGAATTTTTGACCACAATATACTCTTTTGATCCAGCTCTGCTCTGGATTTGCAAGCCTAAGCATATGAAAATTGTCACTTACTTTCCTAATTTCTGTTTAACACATGAGCAGAACAGAGGATTTACAAATATTTAACATGCTGGGATAAGCAACAAATTATATTTTAAAGTGCTATTAAGGAATGTATAGTAGTGAGTTAAAGCTCCCATTATGTATCTGGAAGCTTCTCTTATCTACAGAATGAAGAAATATTCTAAAAACTGCATCATGCCGAACAACAGAAAACTAGCAGCAGCAAAAATATGACCGACAACCAGCAAGTGTATTATTTTCTAAAAGTACTGATTACTCTAGGAATGAGATTATTGCATCCCTTGCCAGCTCAACTCATATATTAAGTGAATTCAAACAAGTCATTCTAACAAATTAATGTTCTCAATCTGTTTACCTACTTAATAGATGATACAAAGGGGTAAAAAAGGTCATATCCTTTAATAATCTGCATGGTAAACTGACAGATGACAATTATCCAGTCTTCTAATATGACATCATACAAAATTCCACTGCTTTCCAATATAAGTCCATCAAAAAATTTACAACTGTCCTAACTTTTCTTACTAGATTGGAAAACAAGCTTGTGATACTATATGTAGAATAAAGGTGACACCTATTAGGAAAAAAACACTATAATATAAATTCCTACTTATCAGAAGAGCTAAGGAATATCGTGACTTCCTTTATTGAGAATTACCTTATATATTATAATGTAGACTATTCAAGACTCCAAGAAATAATATACATTTTTTAAAAGTATGAAAATCCAAATATGAATACACTCAGAATGAAGACAAGGGAACAGAGAATAATGTTTATTGATGGAGGACTTTCAGAGGACTTCAGAGTCTTTAGAATAATTCTTCTGACACAGCTGATACATCTGCCATTTCACTTAATTATTAAGGTGTTCTCTTTCTTTCCTCACAAAGATGCCATTGCCTGCCCACAGCCCTAACAATTCTAATGTGATATATATTACCATTCTAAAAAGTCTGAGAAAGAAATACTATTCTTTGGCAAGAGGTATATGAGTAGCTGCATTCTACAGTAACAGATACAAAAGCAAATGACTGGAATAAATCTACATGGTAGAAGCTAGATTTAATCACTTGACTTTTGTCTCACAAAATCATAGTACAAAAAGTATAAAAATATATTAAGTCTGGTCATTTGCCTTGACTGGTCATTTTGATTCCAGACAGAAGACAGTTTACTATAAAAAATTACCTTTCCTTTATAATCTGATATAAAATTAAGAGTCTTACTCATAATTTTAATTCAAAATCAAGGCAATTTGACATATACTAAGGGAAGTAACAACAGAAATGTCTCCCATTGAATAATTAGCTAAGTGTATTTACTATTTTTTTTAAAATGTTAATGAACATTCTTTTAAACTATTCTCATAGAATTTGGAAGAGTAAAAATCATACATAGATTCATTGCGTATGCATTAATGAAAACTACAATAAAAGTATTTCCTGAATAATTGAAAGCATTTTGCCATAAATAGTCTAAAATATTTCATGGTATGTTTCACATATATTCAACACATTTTACATACTTAATTAAATAACTATATATCATTTCAAACTGAAAATTTTGAAATATAGTGACTACCTTTCCCTTTCTTCTCCAGTCTCATCCAAGACCCATGCATATGCAAACGAAGCTTTGCCAGCCTTTTTAGACTCCTGTTCATACTTATGCATAGTTCTTTTGTTTACATTACCCAGAAGATAAAGCATATGGCCCATCAGAGTACTTTTCCCAGCATCAACATGACCTAAGGAAAATTGATTCAAGATTAATACCAGGTACATTTTCCAGATGTTGTTCACATTGAGGCATTGCATGAATATGTAATTTAATAGTTCACGGCAGTGTTTAGAGTAATAAATACCAATTTTTACTAAATGATATTTAAAACATCTAAATGAAGGGAAAAGAGCATGTCTTTAGAGAGAAGGGGAATTTCCCTGATTTTTGAAATTGAAATTGTCATCAAGACATGCTATTTTCAAAATGTTTACAAAATGAAAATGTCACAACAAACTCTAATGACCTTGGTAACTTGGCATCACTTCACCCAGGGTGACCAGAAAGCATTGCAAGGCAGTGCCCCCTTGTTTTATGTCCATTACGCTCACAGAGAAACTCAGAGTAGAGTAGTTTCCGTGCTGCAACCAGCAAGTTGTCAGGCTGAAGCAGAGTGGACTGCCAGTCCAGAGGGACAAAGGACATTACCAATGACCACGAGGTTGAGGAGTTGCTTCCCTCCTTGTCGCTTCTCCAGCTCTGCTTTGACATCTATTTGTTGCCTCAGCTTGCTAGACTTTTTCACCGGTGTTTGTGTTGAGCTCTGCTCTTCTGATGCCAGAACGGTATGGGATGGAAGAGCTGGTTTGGAAATGGTCTCTAGAACATCAGCAGGAGCAATGCTGGCATCTTCACTAGGATGTCCTCTTTGAGGTGTGTGAAAACTATGACCATTTTCTTCAGCAGTTACTCTAAAGAAAGCAGAGATAGGAAGAGAGTTAAAACCAACTCGCCTGATGTCCTAACGAGTCAGAAGGGCAGAGGAGTTCTCTCTCCATATTCCTTATACTTGCAAACCAAAAATGACCTCTGCTAAGTGGGTAGAGTCTGTTAAGGGAGAAATGATAAGTAGCTAGACCCAAACCACACAAATACAGACTTGGAAGATCACAAGAGAAAAACAGTCTACCAAAACGACAATAAGAACATATCCTGTAAAATAACTGAAATTCGAAGTCTAAACCCATAACCTTAGCCATGTCATCCTATCAAAATAGATGGCGTAAAAAAGACATTTTTTAAAAATTGACACTAAATGTGTTCCTGGAGATAAATTAGTATTAAAAAATAGTTTTAGCCCAAACTCCTTCTTCTAACAAGAGAGAGGCGTATAATCTCTTTTGCTCAAACTACTTTTAAGGGAGCATATAAATGCCTACATATTCTTAGTACTTTTGGCAAAGGAGCTTTAATTCATTAATTCAAAAAATACTTGATTTACTAAAAACTACAACACATAGTAGGCACTGACACTGAGAAGAAAAGACAACACAGAAATGAGAAAGTTAGCTACTGCTCCCAAAAGCTTAAACCTAGCAAGGGGCTCAGACACACAGAGTAGAAATAAGACCACCTGGCTTAATTTATTCTCTCCTTGACAATGAGGATGCCTCCAAAAGTAAACACTAATTTCAGTTCTTCATCAGCTCTTGACTATTCTCCATAGAAACCCTAGCAGTGTTATCCTGTGGATAGCTTTAAAGAATGTGACCTAACCCTCCACATTGTGGTATGCCTTACATTTCCTTCATTGACGATTTATAAATAGAATTAGGACCAGAACAGGTTAAATTGCAAGTTATTAAGAATGAAACCAATTATATCCCATTTAATGTGGAGTTGGCAGAGAACTACAAAAAAAAAAAATACTTTATAAAAATCACTTAAGATCTCAGTATAATGAAAATGTAAATAATGGAATAGTAAATCTATTTTCTTCTTACCCACTGTACCAAAAAAAAAACAACAGATTCATTTTTTCTTCTCAGGGCATTTGTATATGCTCCTGTACCAAAAAACAAATTCATTCCCTTTCAGGGCATGTTTATATGCTTCACCCTGACCCTTAATCATCTATACCTCAGGAAAGAGACTGTTATATTTGCAACTTTGTTAAACCGTATATCCATTCCCATTTCCCATTTACAAATCTACGCTAGCCCATTTTGGTGTTGATTTTTTAGCAATGCTTAGACTAGTTTCATCTTGATCTACAGAGAAAAAATTTCACCAATGTAAAAAATGCTCCCATTACTTTAACAGGCTAAATTAAGTGAAATCAAACTGATTGCAAACACTTATCTGACTGCCCAGAGCTAGCTCTAAAACCAAAATATGACAACTCTGCATTTAGCGAGTGAAAAAACAAAAAACTACAACTTACAATGAAAGTACTCAACCAGAATGACTACACATAGGCTTTGGTTCTAATCAGACCTGGGAGAAATCACCATCTTTGGCTTCACGTCTTTCTGTTTTTGGTTGCAGAAGCTTCCCACTGCTTACCCTGACACCGGCCTGGGAGACACACAGGCAGAACGGCTGTGGTGGACAAGGGCAGGCAGAGCCTGCAGCTCCGCACAGGAAGGACTTCCCAAGGCACAGGCCTGGCTGACTTCATTTAGACTTCAGTAACACGAAAAGCTTGCTTTTCTCTCACTTTCATAACCTTCCCTTTCAAGAGATCTTAGGTAAACTGAAAATTAATTCACTAAGTTGTATACAGTTTGAGGGAAGTGACCAAAGTAATTAGATAGGCATTCTGGGTAAATTTGTATTTAGTAAAAAAAATTCTGCATATTATGAAATAAAAGTTAATGTTTTAAAACTTTGAACAATTTCTAAGATGAGGTCCAAAAATGACCATTCTGGGTTCAAGGTTGTAATTACTGACTGACATGAAAAATGAATTAAGTTAGTTGAATATTTATTCATGTGATTTCTGATATAATTTTGTAACCTTAATTACAATTATAAAATGACTAGTGTGTTTTGTTTCCAAACCATCTTCGCAAAGTGGGACTAGTCCTACATAAATCTAGAGGCTTAATCTTTCCTCTTGAGTTATTTAAATGACACTAGAAAAGTAATAATTTAGATTTACGAGGTTAACCACAGTACCTGTTCTCTATACAAGGTTCTAACCATTTTTACCTGAATTTTCTAGAGAGGTATTTAGTATCTTTAATACCAGTGAAGAAAAAAGTTTGCTGTTTGAGTTTCTTTTAAGCAATATATTATCCATTTTTATAAGCTGTCCTTGGGAATCACACTATGTAAAAAGCTATGATGCTGAAATTTCAACTCAAAGTATTTCATTGTATTTCTCTATGCTTTCTTTTTTTTTTTTTTTTATCCTTACCCGAGGACATTTTTCCATTTTTTGTTCAGATAGAGTGGGAGGAAGAGAGAGGAAGAGAGAGAGAGAGAGAAACATCGACGTGAAAGGGGCACATCAAGTGGCTGCCGCCTACACAACCCAAACAGGGCCAGGAATAAACTGCAACCGCAGTACATACCCTTCGCGGGAACCAAACCCAAGTCTCTCTGGACCGCAGGCCGACGCTCTAACCGCTGAGCCAAACCAGCCAGGGCTCTCTATGCTTTCTTGACACCAAATCAAAACAGCAGCCTAAGCAGTATCCCTACTATAAATTTCCCAAAAAATCCTATGAAAGTATTTGCTGCAAATACAGTTTGGTCCCTGAGCAATATTAGGCATTTCTAAGTATCTCAATCTGTACCTATAGAACTTTCACATTGTATGACTTCTCCCAATGGGCCACATGAAAATATGAACTCATAGGCTGTCTTTTGTTTTGTTTTGCTTTTACCTTTATATCATTTGCAAGTTTATTTTTAAAATATAATGTATTTCTCCAAGGAATCTGATCAATAAATATTTAAACAACTATCCTATGAGATGATACAATGATGAAGCCTGTAGTCTTCGAAGATTCTGAAAGGCTTTCATTACACTTGTAAAGTATAGAGTTTAGTTTTAAAAAATTATTTATTGGTACTTACTATTTATTTTTATGTCTTGACCATTTACTACCCATTATTTTTATAATTGTTCACATAGATAACTATGCATTTACTCTTAGTATGATGCATTAATTTGGGTTTATTTTCATGCTTCTTTCTAAGACTTCTGAAACCTTTTGCATTAAGATTATAAAATCCTTAGAACAAGAAATTGTGTTTTTTATTTATTGGCCTCTCAATGGAAATAACCACTAATAGGATTAAATGACACTCAAGACATAAGGGTAAAAAAGGCATTTATGATTCTGACAACCCAATCCCAATTCAGAGAGAAAAGACATACGTTAAGCCTTTTGTGACTGAATCAGGATTCAAAGTTATCAAAATTAAAAATTAACTTTTTCATTCATCTAATCATTCAACTAATATATACTGAACACCTACTATTTCCTAGATATGGAGTTCTTTTCCTCACTAAATCTGAAATCTGGAAGTCTTGCTTTTAAAAATAAAAAAAATGAACTAAGTGATGACTCCAAGAGGCATGCTACGTCCATTGACTTAGAAGCATATTGTAAGAAGAATAAAAGTCCATTGAGTTTATATTTCTTAAAGTTAAAAAAATCCTCTATTGTTTATATTTGAGAATAGTGTTTCTTATCTAATTGGCAGAGACATATATATATACATCTAAAAATTTAGGGAATTATCAAAAAACCTAAAACATTTTAAAGAGGTTAAAGGTTAATGTTTCCAACTGTGATGTTGAGCCTCAAGCGACCCACTTCCCTTGTTTATAAAAACTCCTGGGAGAATTCTAGAGTGCTGAGAAAGAACAAATGAGCATTACTAATATATGACTTATTACTATTTTCAGTATATATTTGAAATTTTAGGTATGTTTCATTTTAAATTTTATGTCTTTGTTACACTGATCCATTTTACTCAATATGAAAATCTGAAAGAATTAAAAGATAATAATTAGCAAAAAATTTTTAATTCATGATTTACCAACGACAGAGGTGGTCAAGAGTAGGTTTACAGTGGTGAGTATGTTAACCACAGAGTTCATTTATATATTATTATTTATTAATTACTGCATTATTAAGTTGTATTACAATGGTAAACTTACTTTTTCCAACCTCTGAACATGTAATTCCCAAATGCTATATACCTGCGCCATCTAGTGGCATAAGGAATCCCTACCTCACAGTGTTAGATTTCACAAAATCATGTTTTTTATTATAAATGATTTAGCTATAAATAATTTAATTTATATGAGGAAATGGATAGTGAGATAAATTAAGTAACATACATGGACAAGTCTAGAATTAAGTCTAATTTCTCATCCCCTTCTTATTGTACTATGACATACTGAAGACTGTGATGGTTTAATGTCAGTGATATATTTTCTTATAGTCTAATAGACAAACTAATTCCAAAAAAGGAGAGGGGGAGGGTTATAAGCCTTACCTAGGCACTTCAAATCCCATGGTTTGCTTCTTTCCAGACACAGTCATTTTAGCAACTTTTGGCACAATTTCACATTCACTTCGAGATGACTGGGAATCTAATTTCCCTAATGAAAGAGTAAAATATAAAAGTCTAATTAATTAAAGTTCATTCTAGAAACATATATTATATAAATATATAATGATAATAACATTTCATAGAATTCATGTCCTTATAAACACATATTCTTTTCTCTAAAAATATGTAGTGAAATATTAAAAAGCTAAAAAATATTCTTCTGTCACCCGATTCTGGAAAATCCCCTATATTGGCCCTTTGTTATGTTTAGCCCCCACCAAATCTCTTCCTAATTTTGAATTGACTCTTCAGTTTCAGTATTAAGAGGTTACAAGGTGGTTTCTGCACTGAGCCTTGCTCTGGCAGTATACCCAGACCCTCTCCCCCTCTCCCACCACACCCTTCACAACACTAAAACTGTCTGGTCAGTGAGCAGATGGCTACACTATTTTTAATCCTGTGATACCTATAAACTGATGAGGAAGTTGAGAGTCTACTGAATTGTGCTGAACACTGCATTTATTTTACTTGCACACAACACTAGACTTTGTAAGATATCTACTATCGATAAAGAATATGGGGGAAGAGGTCAATGTAGAAAAAGGGAATTAAGAACATGGAAGAGGATAAATTATGAGCTAGATCAAAGTAAGACAATACATTTAATCCTTTATGAAATTCTTTATAATGTATCTTTATAATTTTAAAGAAGAGTACCATCAGGATTGGGTTCACAGAAAATGGCAGAAATTGCATATGCTACACTGTAAATATATATACAGAGCTCATTTTTATAAATTAGACAAATTAATGTACAGAATTCATTAAAAATGTTTGTTGTTTGCCTACTATATGCCAAGCACTATGCTGGAAATAGTGAAGAAAAATAGACATAACCGTTCTGCTGAGAGAACTTACATTCTAGTGGAGAAAAGGTATCAAGTGATCTTAAAAAAATAAAAGTAAAATCAACATATTGTTAGTGTTATAATCTGTATACAGTGCCATAAAATTAAGTGAAAGAGTACCTGAATTAGAGCACTTCTATAGAAAAGAGTTGAGCAAAGATGCTAAAATGAGTAGGCATTAACCACTTAGAATGAAAGAGCATACTGACTAGGGAGTAGCCTGTAAATCGGCCCTGTGGCAGGAGGCGCAGGAGCTTCGGAGGAAAGGGAGCCTAGTTACATGAGAGGAAGTGGCTGTAGCCAGGCAATGCAGGACCTTAAGGCCATACCAGAGCCCTGGCCGGTTTGGCTCAGCGGTTAGAGCATCGGCCTGCGGTACAGAGAAGGCCATACCAGAGACCCTAATTTGTTCTAAAAGAATTGAAAGCCACCAAAATGATGTATACAAGAGGGAGAGGTCTGGGCTAAAGCATATATTTATGATTTATACGCACTTAATTAGTACTTGAGGCACAGGCAAGAGTGAGATCACCAAGGAGAGGATGTAAAGAGGAGGAGTGGTCCTGGAACAAAGCCTTGGAGTACTGCAGCATTCAAAGGAAAGACAGCAGAGGACAATGAGCCTATAAAAGGTGACAGGGGAAAGCCAGGGGAGGGTAGTGCCAAGGAGGCCAAGGGAAGAGAGTGTGAAGGAGCTGGCATCACCAGTCAAGTGAAATGAGTACTGAAAACAAGCAAACACCTACTGTTCGATGTGAGCCTTTCAGAAAAAGGTCATGGAAGAGTTAACAGGAACCATCTGAGAGAAGTGAGGGAAGAAGAAGCCAGAATGGGTTTAAAAAATATGAGGAATGTGAGAAAAAAGAGGTAGCAGTACATGTCTATGATCTCTTATCCATTATTTCAAAAGCCAAAAACCTCTGAAAAATTGAGGGTGATTTGTTTTGTTTTGTTTAATAACTCTTTTGGAAGCAAAAGGACTGACAGGAGGCCATTCAGAGCCCTTATTTATCCCACTTACAGTGAAAAGCTGTACATTTCAGTGCAGAATAACAATGTGATGACTATAGGGCTCACACCATAGATGGTATGTACATGTTAATGCTTTTCTAAATCCAAAAGATTCTGAATTCTGAATCAAAGCTGATCTCAAAAGACTTTACATAAGAGATTATAGATGTGTGTAAATGACTCTAAAAAAATTTGGCTGGAAAGGGAGGAATGTACTTGATTGCCAGCAAAGGAGGGGAGGAGGGTGGGATCAGCTTATGGAAAAGATAAAAATGAAAGGGGATGTTTGAAAGTACCAGGAAAAGAAAAGATCACTTTAGATATTTTAGAAAGGGATGGGATCCAAAGCACAGGTAGAAACTAAGCTAAGATAGAAGACAGGCTCTCACACTGCAATAGAAGGCAGATTTGTATGTTGAAGAAATAGTATTATCTCCATAACAGCAAGCAGCCAGTTACCTGCTGAGACTGAGGGTGAATGAAGAAAGGTAAGACTGGTGAAGCAAAAAAGTTTTCAACAATCCTTGCACAAAGGACAATGATTTGAACATAAACAAATTAGAATTGCTGGATAATACTGAGAGCCCACTTAAGATTTGTAATAATGGATTTACAATGGAACCAATCTGCCTTTCTATGTGACTTTAGCAAAGTTCGGGTCAGGAACAGGCATAGAAAAGACATTAAATGCTTCATTCAAGGTTAAGTTTGTACCCAATAGGAGTAAGAAAGCAGAATAACAAGGTAGGTTACGGTATTGGCAAAAGTGGCGGGGGGTGGGGGGGGGGGCGGATTATAAATCATAAACTCTAGATTTTTAAAAATAAAACATAAGAGCGCTGATGCACTTGGAGAAAGTAGAGAGGTCCACAGGTGGAGAAAAGGTCATGACGTGAGAAGCACAACCAGGCAGTTGTGGCCAGAGTGAAATAAATGTGTGAATTCGTCATTTTGAAGGAGGGGGCATTAGGTTGCTGATGAGAGGTGAAGGTCACTGAAAATTAGGTAGTCAAGGGTGTCAGACTTGGCATTTTTGCACATCAGTGCACAAGTCAGCTGTGACCATGAAGAGCTTAGGGTGGAGAAGAAATTGTAAGCCAGCTGCCAAAGTCTTCACTGCCATGAGGCTGTTCAGCAGATGACAGCAGTGAGGCCAAACGAAAGGTTGGTTCAGGCAAAAAAAAACTTTAAGGGAGCAGAGATTTAATTTTTTTTAAATGGAGGAATAGCAATGTTGGAAATGGCAGCAAGGGGAACAAAGTTGCCCTTCCAGACCCTGAGGTTTGAGAGTCTATAAATGAGGCAAGGTAAGGAAGTGAAAAAATACTAAGAAAACAGATTGAGAGTTAGAAGGATTTACTTTTCATGAAAAAAGCAGTTCCTAGAGTTATAGCAAATACTGAGAGGAGTGAAAGATGAGTGAGGGTTGTGAGAAAGGAGGAAACTGAGAACAATGTCTTCATGTTTTATGTATGATAAGAAAAAGAGGCATTGTGGATTTGGGCCTTTGCTAAAAGAAGAGGGGAAAAGAACCATAAAGCACAAAAATGTCCCAGTCCAGGCTATACAAGACTAATTCCCACTTCCCATTAAGATTCATTTTAGTACCCTCCAATCATTTTGCATGAGGAAAACTTCTTGACCCACTTACACATTCAGAACATTGAAATACTGTTAATTTTTACTTTAAAAAAAGGTGAGTCATCAAATGACATAAGCCCTGGCTGGTTTGGTTCAGCGGTTAGAGCGTCGGCCTGCGGTCCAGAGAGAGCCGGGTTCGATTCCCGCTAAGGGCATGTACCTCGGTTGCAGTTTGTCCCCGGCCCTGGTTGGGTCGTGTAGGAGGCAGCCACTTCATGTGTCCCTTTCACGTCGATGTTCCTCTCTCTCTCTCTCTCTCCCTCCCATTCTATCTAAACAAAAAATGGAAAAATGTCCTTGGGTGAGGATAAAAAAAAAAAAGACATAAAAAGCCTTTACGCATAAAAAAAAAATCATAGCATGATCCTGTAATATTTCTCTGGATGCAATAAATATATTATTTTTCATTTCTGGTGATTCTTATTTATAGGATATCAAACACAAGATGTAGTATTTCAAACATTTGGTTATGTTAGTCAGTCTTTTTTGAGAGGAAAAACGTATAGTATAATGGATCTGAATACCACCCATTAAAGAGTGAGTCTTAAACCTTTTATTTTAAACTCTTCCTGAATCTAAATGAAAACCTCTGCTTGCACATCCACGATTTACCCTCTTTGGACCCATCCCTTTGGTCTTCAAGCACACTCAGTATTCGACTAATAGCTCTTTGAAGGTAGGAGTGCCTTAAAACTATGTTCACCTAGTTCACAGAACACAACACAGTACTCTGCTGACAACACGCATTCAACAGAGTTTAATGATTAACTCCAAATGGTTTAAACTTTGAAACCATGAGTTGATCTCTATTGCGTTGGCAAATTATCTTAGATCTCTTCTCCAGACAATAACCTCCTCAATTTCTCTGCTTTACCTACTTCTTGCACTTGATATCAGCCACCTCCTAATGTTTAGAGATCTGGGTTCTAGAAAGCCAACCTGGCACTTGCTACAGGCAGTCTCATGTGATCTCTTGCAGGTGCTTTGCATGCTCTTTACCTGTGTGACAGCCGAAAGGGTGGGTTTTTATTCCTGCTTTAGATATGCCAAGGGCTATACAACCTGTAGTACAGCCAGATTTTTTAAGAAAAGAAATGAATCATATGTTGGCTATTATAAATGAGCATATACACACCATTGAGAGACATTTATAAGAGTTATGGAGATGAGTTATAGAGACAATAAGCAAGAGAATTCAAAGTATGTACCTGAGTGATTATGGAAGACTTAAATGAAATGAGATTTAACCTGACCCTGAAAAATGAAGAGGAGACAAAAATAACATGAGAAAAGGCATTTTTAAGTGTCAATGGGGCAAAATTCTGAAAAAGACTGGGCAATGATTAATAAACTTTTATAGTAAGACTATATAATTGAGTCTTAAAAAAAAAAAAGACCTTTATAGACTTATTTTCAAGGATTCTATATTTCTCATCTATTAAGTAAAAAGGTATAAAATAGTAGTAGTATTAAATAGTCTAAATTAAATTAGGAAAGATAATTAGAAATGAGAAAGGACAAATTAAGATTAGATAAAAGGCCCTGGTGGGTGTGGCTCAGCAGTTGGAGCATCAGCCTGCAGACCAGAGAGTCCCGGGTTCGGTTTCCGCTAGGAGCATGTACCAAAAAAAAAAAAAGATTAGGTAAAAAAAAAACTATAGAAACATGTATGTCTTTTCTCCATAAATTATGCTACGATGTCTCATCATTCTATAATCCCTTTACTTTTCCCAAACCACTAATGAGGCATCCCCCAAGCTTCAGTCCTAGGGTACTATTTAAATTCTACAGATACTGTCTACCCTGAAGTAGTCAATTCTAATCAGTCCAGTATGGTCAGAACCCTAAGGCTCTCCCACCAGAAAATCCTAGAACTTGAGCCTTGACCTAGTCACTAAATATTCCAGAGACCGAGTTTATCCACTGCACAATGAGGGCATCACCACCTACGTCATCTGTCTCACAAAGATGTTGTAATACATTATACAGGTGAAAATACTAAATTATTAATCTAAAAATATTCTAAATAAAAATCTTTCTTGTATGGAACTATCTCATCATTACTCAGGGTAATAATATCCTTGCCAAAAAACTCTTAAATAAAAACTAATTGAAGTTTGTGTGTTCAGTATAATTATTTTTAGTTTGACTGAACACTGCTACTCATTAACCTCTCTTTTTAAAGTGATTTTAGGTGATTATAGGATCAACAAATGCTAGAAGCACTTAGTCATAGATACAATAACACAAGGTGTGTCAGACCTTGGCTTGAACCCAGTAATTTTTTTTTTTATTTACTTAAGTGTCATACAAGTAAGTTTAAGGGGTACATTAAAAAAAAAAAGACCTAAAAGTGCAAAATCCAACCAATGAAACTATTTGGTGGGAAAACAAGCCAAGTAGATGTTAAAGTTCATCTGGAAGAGTAAATGTGAGAAATGACCAACAAAATTTTAAATTAAGAATAATGATAGGGGAACTGAACTACAGATGTCAAGGCCTCCTATATGGCTGACATAAACTAACATGGTAATGGCACAACGGCAGCTTGATGAATTAGAACAGAGTATCTACAAATGGACCAAGTAATAGGAATGTATTTTTATTTGTTATATATAGCAGTAACACTCGAGCACATGAAAAAATATACAGGAATATCTGTTATATAAACTCATAAATAGAAATTCAGTATATCAAAGAGATATTTCAGATCAGTGGAAAAGGATGGGTTACCCAACACTATATTGGGAATATTGGCGATTCATTTGAGGAAAGGCTCTATCGTGTCTATGGTATATCATATAAATGTCTTGATTAAATATTTGAATATAAACATGAAAATGATAAAAATATACTTATAATATTCAGGTAAGACTGATGAATCTTATATAAAAGTTTTAAAATTTCTCCCTGGTTAAGAATACCACAAGTGACCATGAAGTATATGGGGAAATCTATACAAGGAGTTAATATATATAATACAAGAGCTCCTATAAACAAGTAAGACAAACTCAGAAAAAGTGAGCAATAAATAGACCAGGTCAAACCACACAACTCAAAGAAAAATGTGGCAGAGAAAAGGGAAGACAGGAATTGGAGGAGGGGTGAGGAGGAGGGAGAGCAGGAGGGAGGACTCAAAAGAGGAGGTAATGGAAGAAGGGGCAGGGAGGAAGAGAGAAGGGGAAGGAATAGGTACAAGTATTTCTACTTTTTATTAGCATCCAGTGCTGCCAAAGGAAGGGGGGAGAAGGGCAGGCCTATCTGACACTGTTGGCTAGAGTACAGCCTGGAATACCTTTGGCAGGGAGAACTCTGTGATAAAATAAAAAATGATTCCTACGTATACTATGGAGAGAAGGGGAGGGCAGGGGAGGGGAGACGAGGGGAGGGGAGGGGATGCGAGGGGAGGGGAGGGGAGGCGAGGGGAGGGGAGGAGCAAAATCATTTCCTGATAGCTCTTTCAATGCTTTGATACATTCCTAAAGAAATGAAGATGAAAACTAAAAGGGAATTATAAATGTGACCTCTTTCAACATGTATTTTTACTAGGTTAAAATAAAAATCATGGTAAAATCTATCCTTCCCTTTTTGGATTCCCTAGAGTAGAATTTCTCAACCTGGACTACTGACATTTTGGGCAGGATACTTCCATGTTGGTAGGGGCTGTCCTATGCATTGCAAGATATTCCGAAGGATCACAGAAATGTCTCTGGACATAGCCAAATCGCCTCCAGCTGAGAACTACTGCTCTACAGAATTATTAGCAAAAGAATTAAATACATATTACAAACCTTACATACACTCACGACCTCAGATACAGACCCAGACCCATCTAAACTTACCCTCTTGCCAACAAAATGGGTAATTCTCAAGTTTTTTGCCATCTACCCAATCTTGAAAGCTCAGTCACTGATTTCTGATTCCTTTCTCTCAAAACCTAATAATAATAATTCTATTAACTTTTCCCTCATAAGTATTTCTCAAATTTGTCCTTTCCCACCTACCTAGGTCAGGCCCTTAGGATCACATGCCAGCAGTGTTACAATATGGTGTCGCTCTGCTTTCTGTCTCTTATCAAACCACGTCCTACCACTGTCACTAGGCTTGTCATCATGTCACTCACCTGGTAAAATATATTCAGTAACCCTGTACAAAAACAAAACAAAACAAAACAAAACAAAAACCTACTTCTATATAGTCCTCTCTCTTCCTTAAGCAGACTGGGATTCTCTGGCATAAACACTCTTGTTTTCTTACATCCGTGGCCTTGGTCCATGCCATTCCATATTGATGCAAATGCCATTATTTTCATGAACATTATTAACAGAAGGAAGCCAGGCTTCTTGATAATGTATGAATTACAGAGGTCAACTGCAGCACTGTATGAACAAAGGCTTTTGGATTCATTCCACAAAGATTTACCAAGCCTGTGAGGTAAAAACACTGAATAAAGTACATGTAAAGTTACTTACACGCTTTTATGGTCCCATAGGAGAGCCCCAATAACCACTACATGTCAAAACCCGCCAATTCGTCAGTGACTCAGGGTCTGGTAAAGTAGGTGGACATGGGTTCTGCTACAGACAGCCTGGGCTGAATCCAGGCTCTGCCACTTACTAGCTGTGAGACTTCAAGGGAATCATTTAACTTCTCTCTGTGCCTAGTTTCCTCACCTATAAAATAACAACAGAACCTACCCAATAGTGAAATAATTAAATGAGTTCATATATGTAAAGTGCTTAGAGCCATGCCTGGTATATGTTAAGCACTCAATGCTTCACACCATGACAGAAAGCTACAAAATCTGTGGGTCTCTGATTTCACCAAAATGTCAACTTCGTTCTCCTTATTTGACACCAGGGACTCTACAGAAACAGATTCTCTCTGGCGATCACATATTAATTCATGACGAAGGCCGGGAAATGCCAACTATGTGACACTGTGTTAGGTACTAAGATAAGCAAACCAAAGTACAAGATGTGATTCTTATCCTCAAGAAACGTAAGTCTAGTGGAGATACCACACAGGCATATTCTTATCATGTGAACTGCTATAATGCAGGCACCGTGAGTGCATATAAAAAGTACTAACCCACCTACACTGAAAAATTAGGCAAGGTTTCCTTCAGAAAATTCCTAATGAACCTTGGGGGGGGGGATTTAAAAAAAGGGGAATCAGGAAACACGACAAAATGCACACTCTTGCCAGCTGACCAGCATGGCTGAGTCACAGGCAGATATTAAGTGGTGAGACATAAGGATAGAAAAGCAGGAAGCTCGCTTAGAGCCATGAACAACATTTAGGCATTTGATTTTGAAATGTAGGCGCCACCAGAAGAATTTGAGCTTTGGAGTATCATACTGTGCTTTTAGAACTTTCTTCTCTGACCATAGTATGAAAAATGGATTGTGGAGGCAAGACTGAAGGAAGAGCAGTCAATAAATTATTGTACTAAGATCTGTAAGAAATGCTGTGTACTGACTGAAGAACAATGGAGAAAGGGATATCTAAAGATATCACAAGGCAGAATTAGGAACACTTGGTACCTCAATATATGAAGGGGGGTGAGAAACAGGACAGTTTACAGATTTTTCTAGCAAAAAAGGAAAAGTGGATGGTTCTGTCATCACCAAATGAAGAATACATTCTGGAGAACTAAGAGGAGCCTGCTGCTCAGGATCTTAACTCTTCTTGGATGGTCCTTTCATAAAATGCAAAATTACAGTAGTCCACACAGGAAATACTTCCTCTTAAATAAATGGGGATTGCCAACAAAGACTCTACTTTTTAAAACAGTGCCTAGATAGTATCTCAGGTCTTTCCATTTTTCAAGTTAAATTATAACATGTTCTTAGCAGTGGGGACACGAAGATGAGTAATCGTCTCTATTCTCAGGTAGCTTTCAGTCTAGATGTGATGGACGTGGAGGTAGACAGGACTGAAAGAACACACAGAGAAGTAAAGTAAGAGAAATGTGCAGGAGACCACAATGCTATGACTGCAGCTAAGTAGATACAAAAGCACAGAAAATGAATAAGAGGTCACAGGCATGGGAGACAATACATGAATAGATCATGGTAATAAATGTTAGAAAGGCCAAAAAAATTAGGTCTATATCTCTAGGACTCTAAATTAGGTATGAATATAAAATACATTGAGCTTGAGATTCTTTCAACACAAACAGAAATTGGATAGAAACTAGATAATCAAGTCTGTAGAGCAGAAAAAAGGAGAGCACCATTAAAACAGGTAAAGCCACCTCAGCCCTAGGAACGGACGAGACAGCCTACAGGAAAGGAAGGGTGAGAAGGCAGCCAATGGAGACACTGACCAAGAGGAAGGCAGGAACTAAGTGCTCGCATTCCAAAGCCTTCACCTGAATTCAGATGCATACAATCGTGCGATGTTGCAGGCTATATTTTTTTAAGAGGTCACTTGGTCCAACCCATTACTTCATAGATGAAATTCAGGTAAACTTCTAAAGATCGCCTGTCCAATCAGGAAACGTTGCTCTTGCTTCCCCAGGCTACTTCCCGCACCACCCTCCTCTCCATTCCGGCTGTAGCTTCTCAGGCCTCATGGAAGTGGTCTTCCCTAGGTGACTGAGCCAGGTTTATTTTGGATCAAGTACCTCTATAAAATGTGAATGCTTTGTCCAGACCATGATTTTGTGATTTTGGTGAGGCTAATAAGCATCCTTTCAGATTCTTCTGATACTAGTGAATAATAAAATCAATAAGTCTCATTTAGTTTAATATTTGCATTTCAAAATCTCCTAAGAATATATAGAGCCTAGCAGTTAAATCATTCTCTGTGTAATAAAGAAAAAGTTTCTAATACAATTTAATTTCCCATGGGAAACCAGAAACTAGGCTAGTAGTATTCCTAATAACAAACACCTGGACACCATCTTTTCACCTTTTGCTTACGCTCATTTTAGGTGGGAAAGGGATATTTAGGAAAGCATGCATCTAGCATAATTCTATTAATTTTTAGGCCACACATAATCTCAAATTCTTGAACATGGTAACTCCAGTCCAAGATGATATGACTTAAAATCAAAAACCTTTATTGTATATCCTCATGTAGCATGTTACTTTCTGTCTGTATTATAAAATATCAATATAAAGAATGTGCCTTACCTCTCCAATTAACTTATGAGCACCAGATGGGAACTTTTGATATTTTCCACAATATCCAATCGAGTGCCTGGCACATATTAGTCACTCAAATATTTGATGACATTATGCAACTTTATAAGTGGAAAAAAGTAGTATATTCTCTAAGCCAGTGATTCTCAGCTTGGGAGATGTTGGATCAAAATAACAAAGATATCCTTGCCTCTCCCCTTTTGAACATCATTATCACTGGCACATACTAATCCTGACAAGAAAGTGTTAAATCTCTCAGGTGCCCTGGGACAGAAAAAGTGATTGAGAATGACTTACCTTGTATGAAACTAATTTTTAGATGAAGTGAGCTTCATGTAAGTTAAATAATTTGTCCAACCCAGTTTAATATTCTTTGCAAATTATACCTACCACTTGTTGACTGGTTTTAAGGTCATAACTAAAAAGATGTTTAAAGATCTGATACAAATCAGGAAATGAGTTTAGATGACCTTTTAAGGATCCTGACCTATAATCCTTTTTGTTAATCCTTACTGGAGGATATTTTTTTCATTGATTTTTAGAAAGTGAGAGGGAGAGAGAGAAACATCGATGAGAGAAAGATTCATTGATTGGTTGCCTCCCCCAGGTGCCCCTAAAGGGCCAGGGATTGGACTTGCAACCCAGGTACATGCCCTTAATTGGGAATTGAACCCACGACCTTTCAGTCCGTGGGCTGACACTCTAACCACTGAACCACACCAGCCTGGGCTCATAATCTTATTGATAAAAATAACTATTTAGCCTATTCAGTGAGAATCTCTCCCCACACACATATGTATCATTAATCACTAAATAACATCAACTGAAATTTTTTGAAAATTTAATACTATCACCTGCATCAAATAGGGTATTACTTAATGAAAACTGTTGTTGAAGAAATAATATTCTTAAATCCAATAAAAAACAACCAACGTTTTGGGTTTTATTCGTGTGAAATCCATAACTAAACATAAGAATCCATAACTGGGGAGATTTTTTAAAGTAAGCTTTTCTACTGGATGGCATTAACTAACTTCAAATTTAAACAGTACCAATAAAGGTATGAAAATACTACTACAGAACACTAGTTTTTGTCTTAAATTTAAAATGCTGTCTATAATCTCTTAATGTTTGAAAAGTATTCTCTGAATCAAACTGGGATCTATAAAATGATTCTGCATTTAAAAATGTGTGTGCAGATTGGCAGATAGGTGAATAGACACAGATATAAACTAAAAAGAGGAAAAATATAGGAAACAAAATGGTATGTATAATAACTATATGTAAAAACCTTAATAACATAAAGAATTTTTTAAAAAATGCGTGCCCTGGCCGGTTTGGCTCAGTGGCTAGAGCATCAGCCCGCGGACCAGAGAGTCCTGTGTTTGGTTCCCGCTAAGAACACGTACTTTGGTTGCAGTTTGTCCCCAGCCCCGGTTGGGATTGTGTGGGTGGCGGTCACTTGATGTGTCTCTCACATAGATATTTCTCTCTCTCTCTCCCTCCCTCCCTGTCTCCCTCCTATTCTATCTAAAGATAAATGCAAAAAAAAAAAAAAAAAAAAAAGTCCTCGGGTGAGGATAAAAGAATAAAAATGCAAGAAAATATGGCAAAACATAAGACTACTGCCTTTGGGTAAGAAAATCATGAATAACTTTTTCCCCTTTTTCTACATTAAGAATATATTACCTTGTCATTGAGGAAAATAGTAATAGGTGACTTGACAGATTTCAAAAGGAGGAAATAATTTTTATGTATTTATATGATTAAGAGGAACATTCCAAATAAATTCACAATAAGCTCTTAATGTAAAACAAATTCACAATTTAAAGTCATTCACATCAAAACACCTTAAGCTTGAAAAACATTTAAGGTTATTTAGAAAAAGAAAAACCCAAGTTTTCCAGCTAAGTTGATCTTTTTGCTATCAATCATACTGTTTCTATAAATGTTTCCATATGCTAGTACACACTGGTACAGGCAAAGAAAAATAAGATTCTCAAAATTTCAAAGAAATCACTGTTAAATTTTCAGTGAAAAATGACTTCAAATACAAAATCATTTCACTGAATCTGACTACACATTTGAATTCTAGTTACCAGATGTATATTCAGAAAGTACACCAACAGGCTACAGAGAATAAACCACTTCCTTCAAATTACAGCTGCACTGTGATTTATTTAGTATGAATTATTTTTCACTTTAAAACACCCTTTATTACATAACTTGTCTCATCAAATCCATCATGCAGCATCTGTCTCCTACAGAAGGAAAAAAACTTTGTACCCCAAA